TGTCTGGGTGCCAGAGGTGGGTCCCTGTCTGACTCTGAAAGTCTTAGCAGCTAAGGAAACAGGCAGACTTGAATGGGTCAAGATTCATGTTGTCCGGATTAGAGTAGACCCATTGCTCAGGCAAGCTTTCTGAGATCATTGAAAACCCATGCACTTGGGCTTCCCTGGTGGTGCAGTGGTTGAGAGTCCGCCTGCCGATGCAGGGGACGCGGGTTCGTGCCCCGGTCTGGGAAGATCCCACATGCCGTGGAGCGGCTGGGCCCGTGAGCCATGGCTGCTGAGCCTGTGTGCCCGGAGCCTGTGCTCTGCAATGGGAGAAGCCGCAACAGTGAGAGGCCCGCGTACTGCAAAAAAAACCCGTGCACTCGCCTGGGAATGGTTGAATAGTGCTAGGAATAATGTCTGAGTTATTTATATGAATAAACTCAGCACTTCTTAGCTTTTTTCCACTCTTCTCATAATACTGTAAAATGCAATTCATGTTCTAACAGGTCATCAAAGTCACTTCTACGAGGCCAGAGCACCCTGGTGCAGTACACATCTTTCTACTGGTTAAACTTAATCCAAAAAGAACATTTAAAGAATAAAAGGAAAGAAGGAGCAACTCCATGGCCTTTGTGATGAACACACATGTATATTATTTCTCACAACTTCAATGCAATTTGAATAGTTAAGGGCTAAGATAATATGCTCTTGACGAGCTGAAGGGGACAGGATTATTTCCTCCATTAAAATGAACATACTTGAAAGTACAGCCACACAGCCTTCACCTGGCCGTGGCCTGGGGGGAGCACCCACTGAGGAAGATAAAAACTGTGCTAAAAGAATCATTCTTTAGGAACACCAGTAGAAGGCAAAGGGACAAAAAGACCCCTTGATCTACTCTATAGATCAAGGCAACAATGATTTTAGCCTGGAAAAGTTTCAGAGTAGGTATTATCAGTCATTCCCCAACCAGAAAAAAAAAATTAAGAAACTTGTAAGAACCTATTGAATGTCTAGTTTTATGTGCTGCAATTTTTGGAGATGGCTCCAAGAAGATGTGGATGAAAATGTACTTCTAGGCAGTTCAGTATATTTGGGGTGGGGGGAGTGGGAAGTTCCTGCTAAGAGTTTAGAGTAGTTGGTTTAAGCTATTCTTTTTTGACAGAACCACTGTCATCTTTATACGTAACTCAGTGACATTTAGATTTTTTTTTGAAAGTTCTTTCGGAATTATTTGCGCTGTGAGTTTTATCTTATTTTATTTATTTATTTATGCTTTTTTTTTTTTTTTTTTGCCACTCTGCGTGGCATATGGCATCTTAGTTCCCCGACCAGGTATCGAACCTGGGCCCCCTGCATTGGAAGCTTGGAGTCCTAACCACTGGGCTGCCAGGGAAGTCCCTAGAAAAATTTTTATTTCTTCCCTTTTCTACTCCATCCAGCTTAGACTCCTATTGCCTTATTTTCTTTTCCTGCCTTTCTCTAAGATGGGAAATAAATCCCATGCCAGTGCCAATCGTGGGTGGCTCTCTTTTTAGAAAAACACTCCAAGCCTTGTCTATGCTCAGCATAAAAGAATATTCTGGGCCGGGAGGGCGTCAAAGGGTGAAGGGGTGGTCTGAGGTTCTGTGAGCCTTTCTCCTCTTCTCTTGCTGCCCCATCTATAGTATATAAAACAACAAACATCAGTGGTATCAGGCCCTTTATGGGATATAGTGAGAGGTAAAAACCAGAGTAGAGCAGAGACCTTGCCCACGATCTAGATTGCAGAATAAATGAGACATTTCAAATAACCATAACATAAGGCATGGTATGCTATAAGCACTGATAGGAAGGGAAATGTACCCCCCCGCCGCCGAAAAAAAATTAGGATGGTACTGAATTGTCTGCTTTTGCCGCAAGTTTCTTACTCGGTTCAATTGAACAAAATCTTTGCACCTGCCAGGTGCTAGGCCCCCCGTGAGGGGCTGGTGGGTCCAGTGGGGGTCAAGCACAGGCCTTGTCTCCGATTGCTACTTCTAGCAAGAGTCATCAGAGCTTTGTAAAGGTGTCTGCTTGAGGCCAGGGACTTGGTCTTTCTCTGACATGTTTTGATATGTCCCCTCAAACAGTCCCACAGCCAGGAGGAGAGAGAGCAAACAATTTTCCTGGAAAGGTGATTAACATTGAGGCACAGTAGCTAGAAATTGGCGAGGTGCCTTCCGCAAGGTTGGGGAAGTGATTTATTTTTCCAGCCTCACCACAGGAGCCAAGGCCCTGGCAGATGCCTCCATGCCTTAGCAGCAGCTGATCCAGATGAGATCATTATTAATTATTAGTCACTTTAGAGTGTCTTTTTCAGAAACTACAGAGTTCTTGGGAAGCCCAGACTCTCCTGAGTTGCAATCAACACTATGTACGCCCTGCACAGGGACCTGAGTGGCCTGTAATTATAAAACAGTATTGATTCCTGGAAAGGGGGTTGAAAAATGTACAAATCCTTCACATAAAAATCAGCTAAATCTTCAAAAGCCTTGATTATATTTTTTCCTCAAGGAGACTGATGGTGGGAGTAAAAAACTTGAAATGTTAGCTAAATGAGGGCTGTTTCCTGCCAGGAGCCAGATCTGTACACATAATTATTTTATTCTCTGTGCTAGCATTGATTCACTTTGGTTGAGTGTTGGAAATATCTCTGTTTTGGGTCTGTAATCCAAATTATTCAGTCAGTTCCGATGATGATGTTTTCTACTCACATCTTCCTGTATTATTTTTCTGTAAAACAAATAATCATATGTCTGGAACGTGACTCATCCCTGCCCCCCAGCACACCCCTCATTCCCATCCCTAAATTTGTATATCACACCACCTGCCATGCTCCTGGGCCAGAAACTTCACTCACCACTCACCCCATAGTCACCAACTTCTGCCCGTTTTATTTTTGACCTAATTCTAATTTCTGCTTCTAAGTTGGCGTCCACTACAGTCCTGTTGGAATGACTGGAAATCCGGATAGATTTTGGTTTTTCTTCCTTTTGGCTGCGTCTCAGCAGCAATTACGAACATGGATTCTCCAGCTGCCTTTGCTTAGCTCATGGGTGCCCTGTCATTTTCTGTCTGGATCCATAGAATGGCCTCACATTGCATTTTCAGCTTCTAGTCCTGTCCATCCCGTGGCGGGTAGGAGCCCCCTTGAAAATGCAGGTTTGGCCGTGGCATTTGATGGCATATAGACTTCCAGCGGCTCCCCATTGCCTACAATCTAAGATGGACAAACAATTCTTCACCTGCAAGTGATAGACATCGAGTTTCAAAAGATGCAGTTTATCTCCCAAGCCTCAGAGACTGTTGGAAGAGAGCAGGTCTGGAGGACTGCAGGCACCAGCCACATCAGGAAGGCCACCTCATTCGTGGGCTTCTTTGGCACTTTGACTATCTGTGGTTGGTTTAGCTGGGCTTGGGACAGAGAGGTTTTGTCCTAGAAAGCTGTTTCCCAGGTTTTATAGAGCTAACTTCTCAGTGAGATACAGTCACAGCCCGTTTTATTTTGGATACCTCATGCTTCCTCAGCAAGGCAGTGAAGTGCTGTTGAGACTGTTACAGGGGAATGGACCCTCTGATCGGCCCCTCCAAACCTTGTATTTGAGGAAGAAGAAATCCTAGTGCCAGTACGGGGCTCCAACACAAAGGGCCTGCAACATTTCTCAAAAGAGGCACTACTGGCGTGTGGTACGGGGAAACACTTTGTAATGTATGAGTGTCCCACACATGACAGATGCTCCAAGGATTGGGGAATGGTACCATCCCTACCTAGGAAACCTTGGCTCCAGTCACTACTCCTAAGATATTTTCCTTACTGAGAATATAATGAAGGATTGGATTAATTATGATCTGTCACTCCTGTTGCCTCTTCATCTTCTGTATTAATTGAGTTCAGACTGGAGTCACATTGCCTGTCTTTGAAATCAAGCTCCACCGCTTACTGAGTATGACCTTGAATGTGGGCATGACCTCAGACAACTACTTAATCTCTCTGTGCCTCTGTTTTCTCATTTAAAATAGGAGATAGTAGTATTAATTACATCTACCTGAAAAGATTTTTGTGCAGATGAAATAGGATAAAGCATGAAAGATGCTTGCCATGACGTCCACTTTCAGAGGCATAATGATTGTATGAGATGATGGTGGCTCCTGAGCTTAACATCGTACTTGAGTGACAAGTTGAAATTGACACTTAAAAGTGACTGCCCCAAAACAGAAGGGCAGCAGGGTCTATCAGAAAGTGGAGTGACCAGGTGGGAGTCAGTAGATTCTGTTTTGCCCACAGTCACAGTTACTGTGTAGCCTTGAACACGTCACTTCCCTTCTCTGGTGTTTGCTTTCTTTTTTTCTTTTCTTTTTTTTTTTGCAGTACGCGGGCCTCTCCCTGTTGTGGCCTCTCCCGCTGTGGAGCACAGACTCCAGACGCGCATGCTCAGCGGCCATGGCTCACGGGCCAAGCCGCTCCGCGGCATGTGGGATCTTCCTGGACCGGGGCACGAACCTGTGTCCCCTGCATCGGCAGGCGGACTCTCAACCACTGGTCCACCAGGGAAGCCCCTGGTGTTTGCTTTCTTGATACATTTGCCCTACGTGGTGTCCAAAAGACTGAATGGCATGAGCATTGCGAATGTGCTAAAGCCTGTAGCATCTCACAAACAGTTTGATGATATATAATAAGTAACTGATTATACATCGGTGTTCTACCTACCCCTGATTTGGAAACCTTCATCAGCCAACTGGGAGGACGCATTGAATGGGAACTTCTTGGGAGATGTATAAACCTGGGGAGCCCACCTGCGTGGTAAACACTGAATTGCTCTCTATCAGCCCATCCTGGCCAATGCGTCCCCCAATGGCATAGGCGAGGAAACCTCAGGCATGCAGGCATGTCATTAAGAGCTCACAACCACGGTCCTGCAGCTCTCCCTGCTGGCTTCCCGGCACCCTTCGCCACTGCCCGTCCCCTTCACGGTTGTCTGCTTGTCGCCCCACAGCAACAAAGGCGAGAGAAGGAGCTGCGGAAGCAGCAGGAGAGGGAGCAGCGGCGGCACTACGAGGAACAGATGCGCCGGGAGGAGGAGAGGAGACGCGCGGAGCACGAGCAGGTACAGCTGGGGCCCCACAGGCGGCCCCACGGGAGCGCCAGCACCAGCCGCCTCTGGGCTGTGGGTCACCTGCTCTTAGGTCTGCTCAGGTTAAGCAGGTTTTTACTCTTTCTCAAGCAACTATTCTCACCTATTCAAAAAGTCAAACGCACAACCTTGGCAAAGCCCACTCATTCAACCTGGCTTCCTCCCCAGGCCGAAGTCCCCTGACGCACCTGGATCTCGTGATTTTCCCAACCCTGGGCATCTACTTTGAAAGTAGCACTGGAGCGTGATAAACAAGCCAAGTGCTCCCCTTTCATCGCTTCAGAAGAGCTTTTCTACTCAGGCAGCTCTGGTCTCCAGGACTTGGAGCCATCGATGCAGGCCCTTTCTCCCTTTGTTAGAATCACATTCTGACAGTGCAGTGGAACTGCAAGATGGTTCCGTTACAAAGGCAGTGCATGATGGCATTCAACCATTATTTTACCCCTGCTGCTTGCACAGGAGCCTCTGAACTTTATAGCATTGTTAATTTCAGGTAGCCCCTAAAGAGGGAACCTGTCATGAAAAGTTTTAAAATATAGCTCGGTTCTCCAAACCAAAGAGTAACTAACAGCAAAGCACTGAGCCATCTCAGTCCGCTGCAGTTGCAGGTAGAGGGCTTGTGCTTTTGACTGCATTGAAACGCTTTTGCTTCGGTGCGGGGTACCTTTCCTGTTTAGCGAGGAGGTGTCTGGGTATTTTTTCCCCTCCTTCCTTCCACACTTCACTTGGCAGCTCTTGTCACCTTTGAAATTACCGGTTCTTTTTCTCTCTTTCTTTCTCTCGTTGTGTTCCTCTGAATTCTCTGCCACCTACCTCTCCAGGAGTACATCAGGCGACAGTTAGAGGAGGAGCAGAGACAGTTAGAGATCTTGCAGCAGCAGCTACTGCATGAACAAGCTCTACTTCTGGTAATGGGAAAGCCAAGCCAGCTGACCTGCTCTGTGTTCATCGCACGCGCGCGCGTGCGTGCGTGCGTGCGTGTGTGTGTGTGTGTGTGTGTGGTCTCCTCTAACATGCCAGTCAGGAAGGAGGGGATCCTCCAGGCCTCATGGACCTGGAAAATCTCCTAAAACTTAATTCGTTTCCTGACCCAGTGTGCTGAGTCAATGTGTTTAATATACTTGTTATGCATTCTTTATTAACTCCAGCTATTGGTGAAACTTTAACATGAATCCAGCCTTATTATAAGTTCAGACTGTTTTTGAGACCCACTGTGTTTATTGCAGAGTAATGTTTGAGGCCATTTGCAACATGCTGGAATACAATCACAGCAAAGCGCCCCTCTTCCGTAAGAACCCGCTCAGCTCTGTAGTCATGTTTCATTTGCAGACTATTAGTTTTACCCTTACGATGGGAACATTTTGTGTTCCCTGCTCAGGAGGCTTCCACTTGAAGTACTTTTTATTATTATTACTGCACTGCTCTCCAAATGAGCTTCTTGGTGTATCTTTTTTTTTTTAACTGAACTTTTTATTCAGTGGCACTGTGATATTTTTTTAGCCTGTACATGGTTTTTGCTAATGGTTTCGTTGGTCCAAGTTTTGTTAAACAAAAGATGATTTAGGCAGTATCTTTAGGTACTTATTTCGTTTTGTACTTAATTTTACATGTTTGAATGATTTAATTACTAAATCAGGAAGTGGACGGTTCCTTATAGGGGTTGCGTGCTGACCATCTGAATGTCCTCATTATTGCCACTTTCTTGGTTACAATTCACCAAGGGCTAGTCACTTTGCAAAGGGTGGTATTCTGTAGGGGTTGCCGTTAAAACAATAGTGTTTTCATTAAATACCACATTCTGTGCAGATGCTAACCCAAGGCTGTAGTTTATCTCTATGGCACATCCTGATGTCCTCTTGTGGTTCTGTTGGTATTAAGGTCCTTTGTTATTTATCATCTCTTTTGGTTCCATTGCATGCTTCACTGGTACTGGCCAATGGTTTCCGTATGGTGATTTAGCCTTTTCTTTGTTCTCCTTTCCTGATCTGGACAGGAATATAAGCGCAAACAGTTAGAAGAACAGAGACAAGCAGAAAGACTACAGAGACAGCTAAAGCAAGAGAGAGACTACTTGGTTTCCCTTCAGCATCAGCGGCAGGAGCAGAGGCCTGTGGAGAAGAAGCCACTGTACCATTACAAAGAAGGGATGAGTCCTAGTGAGAAACCAGCGTGGGCCAAGGAGGTAAGTCAGCAAGCAAGTACAGCCTGTACCTGTGCTGTATCGGAGAAATCGGCCATAATGAGTTTCTCCAGTAGAAACAGAGAGTTAAAACTAGTGCTACAAAGTTGGAAAATAATTCATTATGAGACACACATGCTTTGCTTTGGGAAGAACTGTAACATTATTTCTCTACCTTAATCCATTTGTTCTTCTTTTTGTAAGTAACAACAGGAAGTAGAAAATCCTTTTCCTTATTGGAATCCAATTGAGTTTGTGGCAGGAGGATTTTTAGTGACTTTTTCATGGAAGAATATGACTTAAGACTTAAGGAATTCTAGGTAGGATCATTTCCTATCTATACCTAGACCGTAAAAGTGATCATTAGTATTGTCACTAACACTCCATGTTCTGTAGTAACAGTGAAGACACAGTTGGACCCAGACTTGTGATTGTGGTTCACTTACCGGGTCAGAGGCCATTTATATTTCTTTTGCAAATACTTTCAAAGTAATGGTCCTTCATTTGCTCAACTACTAGAGTAAGAAAGAATTTGCAGGAACTTGACTCTGTGATGAGCTATTTAAAAATCTCATTAAAAATTATTTGAATAGTAGGAAAAAAAGGGTGGTAACCAAATGAGTAAGGCAAACAAACAAAATAATAATTCTCTCCAAGATAAACAACCCTTCTAGGAAGTCGCTGTGTCATCTCATATGCCTGACACCCTGGTTTTCAGTTCTGTCATTAATGTGGCAACTAATGATTTCCTTTATTTTCTTGTGAGCATAACTAGTCATTTGAAAGGGTGATTTATATTACTCTGCATTTTCTTCTAGTATCTTCAGATATTTATAGCTAGAGCTTATTTCAAGTTATCTAGACTACAATATTACCAGAACCTGATTTCTTACGTAAGATCCTATTTGTATAATTTTTAATTTTCTGCTCTATCTTACATATGTGTAGAAAATGCTTGAAATTATGTTGTCCTAATGTTAATAATGGCTGTTTGTGGGAAGTAGAAACTATAGAGTTTTTTTCTTTAAACTTGTTAATACTTTTATGTATTATGTTTTATGTATTTATGTTTAAATCCTTTATAATGATTTTATACTATTTTTACAAAAGTAATAACCTTGAAAACTTAAAAACTAAATCTGTAGAGAAAAGTCATTCAGTGTCAAGAATGTTTTTGATCACTTTCCCTGAGAGTCTATGAATGCGATTTGTATTTACCTATGTCTGTAACAACTGCCTCTTTCTCCCAGGTCAGTAATTCAATTCTGTGATCCTACTCCCAGGTACAGCGCCAACCCCTTAATAACCCCCCTGTTCTTCCAGCTAAGCGCAATCACTATGCTGTCCAACAGCAGCTGATGTGGTTCCTGGCTAGCAGAGGTGTGTCACCTTCCTCCACTGCTAAACCATCCTTTAGCCACATCAAGCTTAAACCCTCAGCTAAGCCAGACTCACAGCTCGTGATCATGGCAGGTATTGAGAGGCTGAAAAACTAGCCTCCCCTAAGCTAATGCCAGTAGCACCTGCAGAAATTAATGGTTCCAGATCAAGACCCCTGTTTGAGCATTGCTCATGGAAGAAAGGTTCACCAGCTTATCCTATTAGACTTGGTCTTGAAGAGCAACTGAAGCCTCAGCGAGCCTCAAGGACCACAGTGAGATCAACAAAGCGATGATCTCGCTCGCAAAGATGTAGCCCAACTCGAGAGTCAGGACTTAAGGTCATTTGTGTGTCCTCTCCCAGCATCTCCAAAGTGATGAGCCCCCAGTTGTCCATTACAGCAAGTAAGGAGGGCCTTAGAGACTCATGTGTACCTCGGGGCAGGAGGGGCATGAATTCATGCATCCATACAAGTACCTCGACTCCTCTAAGAAGTGCTGCATCACTAAATGACCTCTCTTTGATGCATGACCCCCTGACCTTCAGTGCTCCCAGCCCCAAGCATGAGTTTAGGAAAGGGACGCCAACAGATCCCATTGGAGAAGACCATGATACCTTGCAAAGCATACCAGAATTTCTTCTGTCCCTTGTGCAGCTCCCTCATGCACAAAGGTACCAGAAAAGGGGGGGGAAACATAAAGCAGTTTCCACTTCCTTCTTTCCACCTCTACCCAGCATGTTTTGATTTGAACTTAAACATTTTGACTTCACTATTTTCTAATTACTGTTTGTCCTCATCATTAAATTTCCTGGCCTGTCCTCTCTTCAGAACTAATTCACAGTTCCCAGGCTTTCAGAAGCCATGCCGTTCCTGGGGGCAAATCTTTGCAGATATCATCAGGGCAGTTTTGTAGACCTCTTAATTCCCCTGTGCTTCTCAGCCAGGCTCCTAGCAGTAAAGGAAACATAGCCCGTGGGAGTGCAGACAGCAGGGCTGTGTCATGAAGCACACCCGATGTGAGGTTCCCGGGCCATCCTAAGTCTGGGCCACCTCTGGTGGGTGACATCTTCCAAGGTCCCTGGCTTCCTGACAGCTGGAGTTCTTCCTTTGGGCTTCATGGACTTTTAGACATGTGGGAACATTCTTTTAGGATTTTAGATTTAATCCTATCCTCCTGGGTGTGTTTAACATAATCCAGCTTCCAACTAACCACCTATCCATGAAACAGTTCCCAAGTCTTAGAGTGGGTATTCATATTTTAGAAGAAAGATGAAACATTTAGATGATAGAATGAGTGACGGTGCTAAATTGGGGATTGGAGCAACTGGTATACAAATAAGTACAAATAGTTGTCTGCTTTAGTTTAATTCATCATTTTTTTAACACCCACTTCTTAAAATGGGAATAAAAATGAGTGTGAGAATCCTTATTTTCCTGATTTCTCAATGATTCTAATCAGCAATGTATGAACTTTTCTTCTAGAGCTTTATTTACAGGTTTCTCTTCTTATAGTAGGAGGTAGGTGGGGTTGAAAGTAGCCAGACAGTGAAATACATTTCAAGACTTTAGATATGGACAGAATTTCTAGCTCAGCAGTATCTTAATTATCAACCAATAAAAAGAACCTGGGTTAAACTCTCTTTTGGAGGTAGAATAAAAGGTACCATTTTCTTTTTCAAAGGCATCCTCTGCGAGGATATAATTTGAAAATATCCTCACCAGGGATGGGTAGGCAGCAGCTATACCATGATCTCCTGTGATAGAGGGTCTGGGCTTTTTTTGCCCCATATGCCATCGAAGACACCACCTGGCCATCTTCCACCCACAGCAGCCTCTTGTGTAACCTGCTCCCATATTTGTTTCCTAACTCAGCTCTATACCTTCTCATCAGGGTGGTTTTTCCTTCTTTGATTACTTTTCCATCCACTTACTTTTCCTTATTTCCAATCGACATTTTTTTCATTAGCAGTGTAATATTGTTATAATGTTTCGTCCTCTGTGTTTTCGTTGCTTCATTTTGTAAAACATAAATCATCACATTTCTCATTTCCTTTCTTATTAATCTGTCGGATGTAGTAAGAACAAATGAAAATACTTGGTTATTGGCAAATCTTGAGCTCTTCTCTCTCTCCTTTTACTGAGTTTTCTAGTTGTCCTAAATGTTACATTGACTTTGATTTTCAGATTTCAGCCAGAAAGGAACATTAATGTCTCCATTAAAAGGAGGAGTGGGGGGCAGTCTCACGCCTTTCAAATTCTCTGCCGTTTCTAGATTGGAATGGAAGTCAGATTTGTTTTGTGAAAACATCAATATGATATTCTGTTAAACATCAGCAAAATTTGAAGGGTTTTTTTTCCCACTGGCACTTTTTGAAAGATGGATATTCCTTTTCTTATAATGCCCTTTCTTTCTAATGGTACAGATTCCTGTTCCTTATAATGGCATGTGATTGTCTCGGCCTGGCAATAATTATTTTTTAATTTTCACCAGCACACAGCAGTGACAGAATGCTCTGTCTACATGAGTGTTGCATGCGATGGTATTTTAATATTTTTTTTAACACTTCATCATGTTCTTTCTCTCTGATGCATGCCAGTCATCTGGCCATGGTTTTATTTGGCAAATGATGGGCCAAGATGTCTCTTTATATCCCATCAGCCCATTGGACTTTGAAATCCTTGTACATAAGAACTCTTCTCCACTTGTTTTCTCTGCTCTACACTGATGGTTTTTTCTTTTTATATGAATTATTTTATATATGAGGTCCCATATTCCAATTAGAGAGTTTATGGCTCTTTTCCCATCTTTCCTCAGTTTCTGCTTATCTCTCTTAAGATTTAGCATGAGAGAGACCTGACAGGAAATAGGAAAGAGCTTGTTTGAGTTCAAGTTCTTCCACTTACGGTCTTTGTGACCTGGAAGTCTCATAGTCTTCCTGAGGTGCAGCCTCCACACCTATACTTCCTGTCTCAAGGTTGGGAGGATCCTGGGCAACCATGTATGTGAATGTGCCATTGAAACTGTAGGCGCTGTACAAATGCAAATGAAATACATGATTCAACAAATTTCTATTTTGCTCCCAAGGCCATTGTTGCCCACAAGGAATAAGTGTTTTGCCTCTGTTGTTTCTGGTTGGGATTTCACATGCATCTCCCATCTCTTCCACTTACCTCTCCCCGGTGATAGATACACAGTTTTTAATTTCCCATCTCAGCTTGCCAAAGATTTGCCTCATTACTTTTAAGTTATGTGCTCCATTCACATGAGGATCTGTACTTTTCTGTGCAATCAGTGGTTAGGAGTAGATCTTGGAAAGCTAGTCCAGGCCCTTATCTTTAGACAAGGTTACATTTTAAGCATTCCCTATGAATGAGAGCCTCCCCTGTCCTCAAAGGTGCCCCAGAGAAGGGATAGCACCAGTCTTACTCAGCAGCCATCTGCCCATGTGGTTTTGCCAAAAGACAGCGTGACTCAGCTCTTCATGTGCCCAGTGAGTGCAGGGTCAGAGTACCTAAGGAGGACTTAAACATCATTGGACTTCTTTCTCTTCCTTCAACATTGCCAGTAAAGACAAAAATCAAATTGTTTTGTCCAGTTGGGGAAAAAATATTCCCATACGATTGTGTTCAATTCGCCACATATTAGCTCTTAAGGCAGGCCTTCTAAGAGCTTCGTAAACCCCACAGACCCTACAGTCATATAAAGTATTATTAAAATGCACCCATATGACATAGTAAATATATTTTGCTGTCAACATTTAAAAAATTACTTCTATAATTTTGTTTTGAAATTCTCTCTCAGCAGCTATCATTCATTATTGCTAAGTGAGACACTGGAAGCTATAAATTGTTCTCAAATGTACAAAACAATTTAACAGTTGACATTGATATAATGTTTACACTTATACATGTTTCAATGTTTTTTTATTTATTTTGAAATTTTTTCAGATCCTGTAATTAACGTGTTTCTTTTCAGGTCGTCTGTATTCATGCAACTTTTATATATCTCAAAGGCCTTAGACATCACTCTTTTAGTACCCAGTGGATAACACAGTCCTGCCTGGAGCAGAATTTTATTTCTGAGACCACAGTTATTTTTTCTTTCTCCCCGTAATGCTATAATAAATAGTATAGCATTTCTGTGGAGGTTATCCAAACCTCTCCAAAGTTATTTTAGTTTTGATGTTAAAATGATCCTTTTAATAAGAAGAAAACCTGATTCTATAGTAAAATTGATCAGTCTCTCCTAATATTGTTCTCTGTATTTATTGATAATCCCGTCAAGTGTGAAATCCTTTGTTATGAATGTCTTGTTGTTATGGTCTAGCACCTTGACACTGTTTATCTGATGCTACTAGAACACTCTTTTTTGGTGGTACTTAAGATATTTTACAACTTCTTGGCAGCAGGAGGTTGGAGCAAAGACTCAGCTAATAGATTTTTTTTTTTTTTTAGTATCATGAAAGGCAGACTGAAACATATCTTGATTGTAAGCCAGTTTTTAATCACAAAATATTCTTAATCTGGGGGAAAACACCTTCTTTTTTGTCTCACTCACTGTTCAGTTAGTAGACATAAGATGTGATGAATCAGGAGATAGGCCTTTGCCCAGTAGCAAAGTAAGCAGAAAGGCCAGCTTCCCCTCTGTCCATTTGAAACTGTTATTTGGATGTTTAATTTGATATATTTGCTCCAATACCCTTTAGTGCAAAAGCAACAGGCAGCATTATTCTTCCTAAAGACTTTAGGACCAGATTTTCTTGAGACAAAGTAGCCGGATGCCTCATTGTTACACCTGTCACATGGATTTTCAAATTTCTTTGGACAGACTTCAACCCAGGAAATTTCACCGCATTGGACTTATCCTGAAATAATCTACTGAGTAAACAATAGATTATTCACACCATATATTTATGATGGCACGAACTGAAACATAGTAATGGTAGGATTTAGTGTTTAACTTAGAGAAGGCATAGCAAATGTTACTAGAAGTACATTAGTGATAGCTACACTTGACTAATTAAACCCATTAACTGCCTGTGAAAATTAGCACCCCACTTTGTGCCCCATTCATTTCTAACAACAGCTTTAGGGCCCGTGTGGCCCACAGTCCTATCAGAGACAAAGGTGGTGCCTTTACTGGAGCCTTGTTACTGGCAGTTGCCCAAAAAATTCTTTATCTCAAATATAATTTCTTTGTTCAAGATGGAGTCTTGGGGGACAGACTTTGTTATTTTTAATGTGCTGTTTCTGAATGTGGGTTTAAAATAGTCTGAGGATATTTTACAGCTAAAAAAACAATAATAGCAAGTACTCTTCACTCCCTTATAATATTTGGCTCCTAAATGTCAGGTAATAAGTGGCTATAGTTTGGATAGCCAGGTATTTATCTGAAAATGAGTCCACACCTCTTGGATTCCTGACCTCAGACAGCAGTGGTTTGGATGGTAAGAGTTCAGGTAGTGAGGGGTACTTATACATGTGATTTATCTATTTAATGATTTTCCCTGGAAATAAGAAAATGGTTAATATTTGACTAATTCCAGTCATCTGGAAATAGTCACCTTCTTTTCAAAGAGTCTGGTATTTGGAAAAGCAATACATTGCATGCCTTGGTCTCAGTTTATCTGTGGTTGTCCTTGCAGGACTTTCTCTTCTTTGTGGTCTTATCTCAAGTCAGGCTTTGTTATTTCCTTTTGCTCAATGCAGTAATAGCCCATTGTTGCTGATGTAATACTTTGCACACATACACATACAAAGTATACATGTTCTGGTTTATATTCCTGGCTTTTTGCAGCTAATCTTATTTGGTATGTGGTAAGCTTCTGGGACGTGGAATTTCAAAACCAAAGTCAACTAGATGCCAATTGTATGTACCCTGCACAGCCACGGTCAGGGAAGAGGTGTTCAAATTACCACTAAGTAGAGGCAAGAGGGTGGTTTTCTACACTATGGCACATGTTAACATGTTAACATGTTTGTAGTTGATTTGAGAGTTTTAAAAACCGACTTATCTTGTGTATGAGACTGAGTTTGCCTCTAGGAAGATTCAAAATAAGGTAGGGAGGATGGGAAACAATAGCTCTTTTGAATTTTCCTTTCAAATCAGGAAGTAAAATAGATAAAAAAAGCTGTTCGCTGAGACATACAAATATGTCTTGAAGACCTGCATGTGGGTTCCATGACAGGCTCTTGCAGCACAAAGATAGTGAGTCAGCAGAAGAGAGTTACGGGTCATCAGGGTAGGGTGCATTGCCCCCGTGAATTTGGAAATTACAACTGTCAAATTGACCCTAAAGAAATAAAGGGCAGGACAAGGTGGACCTGGAAGAAAAGTGCTAGACCTCTTAAAGCTGTCGAAGATTTTAAATCATGTCTTGCAGTGTACATTTTGTTTATCTAAAATTTCCTTTAATTTGTCCTCTGCCACAGTCTGTCTGCAGCAAATAAGTTACCAAGGGTAACTTTTGCCTGTAAAGAGAGCCTTCCCTGTAAAGCACTTCTGATCAGTTATCCCCTCTGGGCTGAGAGAGATTCTGCAGAAAGGGAATGACAAGGAAATGAAGTGTCCAGAAAGGAGAGAGGGTTGGAGGAGGGAGAGGAGAGGAGGAGTAGCAAGAATGAGTGCCATGTGTGGAGAAACAGGCAGGAGGAGGGTAGAGGGAGGTAGTGGAGCCCAGGCTGGAATGGAAAGAAGGTGCTGGGACAGTGTATTCTAGAGAGCCGGGAGAGACACCCGAAAAGAAAGGGAGAAAAAGAGAGAAAAAGAGAATGATACGGGAAGTCAGTTTAAGATGGGCCAGGGCTTCCCTGGTGGCGCAGTGTTTGAGAGTCCGCCTGCCGATGCAGGGGACACGGGTCCGCGCCCCGGTCCGGGAAGATCCCACATGCCGCGGAGCGGCTGGGCCCGTGAGCCATGGCCGCTGAGCCTGCGCGTCCGGAGCCTGTGCTCCGTAATGGGCGAGGCCACAACAGTGAGAGGCCCACGTACCGGAAAAATAAATAAATAAAAAATAAGACAGGCCATGCTTATTGAGTGAGAGGCCCACTTGCCCATGAGTAGGGCATGTGAAGAAATCAATGGCGGTGAGTACGCTCAGCTCATCCTCCTGCCAGCCCTCCTGTGTTCTTTCCTGCCCTGTCCCATGAGTCAGCTCAAAGCAGTTTTCTATTTTCCCCAAGCAATCGTAATGCCCGCCGTAGTTACCTCTCTCCCTCACTGACCCCTGGCTTTGTGACCGACTAGCAGGACGGTGTTCCAACTAACGCACGGTAAACTCTTAAGCAGATCCCTAATTCCCAGCCAACGGAATAGCACGAGATAATGGGTGATGGAAGGATGATGGCTTAAGTGTTCTGTGAGTTCTTCACGCTAGTATTTACTCTGACAGAAAGAGCTTTTTGCAAATTTCTGATGCAGAGCAGATAGGGAGAGCTTCAGCTTTCTAAAGTGATTTGATCAGAGGGATACAAAATGGCTGTGCAGGTGACTACAGAAAATCGTAACTAGGAAGTAAATCAGCTTCCATCCATTGAGGTACTCTTTTTTCTTTCTTTCTGTCTTTTTTCATTTTTTGGCTTCTAGGTAGAAGAACGGTCAAGGCTCAACCGGCAGAGTTCACCTGCCATGCCTCACAAGGTTGCCAACAGGATATCAGACCCCAACCTGCCCCCACGGTCGGAGTCCTTCAGCATCAGTGGGGTTCAGCCTGCTCGGACACCCCCCATGCTCAGACCAGTAGATCCCCAGGTACATCCTCCCTTCATTCCACTGGCTTTTTTCAACAGATATACAGTAAAGTCTAATAAAAGCCCAGGAAATTGTAATATGGTTTCAGGCATGGGTCCAGCCAAGTCATGGCTTTTAATATCAAATCTCTAGTAAGATAGGAGACCCCACTGAATGTGAAAGGCAGCAGAAGGAGTAAGAAAGAAAAAAGCACCATCCTTAACTTTAAGCCAACCACAAAGTCACTTCTTGGTAAATTGCCTCTCTGGAGACCCGGGGGAGTTCCTGCCAGGTCAGAACTAGCATCCTTTCAGTTATAATTACCAAAACTAACATTTGTGTAGACCTTTGATACGTATAAACTATTATATTATCTTTTGTTCTTTGGGATTTTCGCATGAAACTGAAAAAATTAAATGGACTAGGTAAGGTAAAATTGTGTCTTCTAAGCCAGTGGTTTTCAAAGTGTGGTCACTGGGCCAGCAGCATAGCATCAGCCAGAAACTTGGTAGAAACGCAGATTCTGAGGCCCACCTCAGACCTACTGGTCAGCAACTCTAGGGTTGGGGCCTGGCAGTCTGGGGTTTAATAGCCTCCAAGTGATTATGATGCACTTTGAAGTTTGAGAACCATTGTTTTAAGCTATTTGGAAAAGAAAAGAAGATATCTCCACTTTTAGATAAGGAGGAAGTTTCTGGAAGTGTTAGAGGATTTTATATATACCAAAAATGAAATAGGAATTGAAATGAAGTATGAAATTAGATGAAAAATAAAGGTAATGTAGATGTTTTCACCCAAATGTCTTAAACTTCTTCCAGGTATCCTGTGTTAACACTTCCACAGAATATTCTGAGGTCACCTTTGAAATATGTAATGCTATTTGAACTGGAGTTTAAGAGTAGATACGATCAAGGAGTCTTGGTTTTAAGTTTGCCTTTAGTATATGAGGTCCAAGATTTTTCAGTACCAGCCAGCTTGGCACTTGTTTGTTTTTATTTGTATATGAGTCCAGGCCTAACCTTCCATGGCGTACTTTTTTTTTTTTTAATAGAAATCATGCCAATTATAAACCATGGTTATAAGCAGACTCAATTTGAAACCATAACTGCAGCAAATTTCAAGGTTTCTTAAAATTTAATTTAATATTTTTTAATACAGCAGGCTCTTATTAGTTACCCATTTTATACATATTAATGTATACATGTCAATCCCAATCTCCCAATTCATCCCACCACCACCATCCCCACCCCACCGCTTTCCCCCCTTGGTGTCCATACGTTTTTCTCTACACCTGTGTCTCAATTTCTGCCCTGCAACCAGTTATCTGTACCATTTTTCTAGGTTCCACATATATGCATTAGTATACAATATTTGTTTTTCTCTTTCTGACTTAACTTCACTCTGTATGCCAGTCTCTAGATCCATCCACGTCTCTACAAATGACCCAATTTCATTCCTTTTTGTGGCTGAGTAATATTCCATTGTATATATATACCACATCTTCTTTATCCATTTGTCTGTTGATGGGCATTTAGGTTGCTTCCATGACCTGGTTATTGTAAATAGTGCCGCAATGAACATTGGGTACTTTTTTTTTTTTTTTTTTTGCGGTACATGGGCCTCTCACTGTTGTGGCCTCTCCCATTGTGGAGCACAGGCTCTGGACGCACAGGCTCAGCGGCCATGGCTCATGGGCCCAGCTGCTCCGCGGCACATGGGATCTTCCCGGACCGGGGCACAAACCTGTGTCCCCTGCATCGGCAGGCAGACCCTCAACCACATGTGTCTTTTTTTTTTTTTTTTTTTTTTAAGAAGATGTTGGGGGTAGGAGTTTTAATTAATTTATTTATTTTTGTCTGTGTTGGGTCTTCATTTCTGTGCGAGGGCTTTCTCTAGTTGTGGCAAGCGGGGGCCACTCTTCATCGCGGTGCGCGGGCCTCTCACTATGGCGGCCTCTCTTGTTGCGGAGCACAGGCTCCAGACGCACAGGCTCAGTAGTTGTGGCTCACGGAGCTAGTTGCTCCGCAGCATGTGGGATCCTCCCAGACCAGGGCTCGAACCCGTGTCCCCTGCATTAGCAGGCAGATTCTCAACCACTGCTCCACCAGGGAAGCCCCACATGTGTCTTTTTGAATCATGGTTTTCTCTGGGTATATGCCCAGTAGTGGGATTGCTGGGTCATATGGTAATTCTATTTTTAGTTTTTTAAGGAACCTCCATACTGTTCTCCATAGTGGCTGTATCAATTTACGTTCCCACCAACAGTGCAAGAGGGTTCCCTTTTCTCCACACTCTCTCCAGCATTTGTTGTTTGTAGATTTGCTGATGATGCCCATTCTAACAGGTGTGAGGTGATACCTCATTGTAGTTTTGATTTGCATTTCTTTAATAATTAGTGATGGTGAGCAGCTTTTCATGTGCTTCTTGGCCATCTGTATGTCTTCTTTGGAGAAATGTCTATTTAGGTCTTCTGCCCATTTTTGGATTGGGTTGTTTGTTTTTTTAATATTGAGCTGCATGAGCTGTTTGTATATTTTGGAGATTAATCCTTTGTCCATTGATTCATTTGAAAATATTTTCTCCTATTCTGAGGGCTGTCTTTTCATCTTGTTTGTAGTTTCCTTTGCTTTGCAAAAGCTTTGAAGTTTCATTACGTCCCATTTGTTTATTTTTGTTTTTATTTCCATTACTCTAAGGAGGTGGATCAAAAAAGATCTTGCTGTGATTTATGTCAAAGTGTGTTCTTCCCATGTTTTCCTCTCAGAATCTTATAGTGTCTGGTCTTACATTTAGGTCTCTAATCCACTTTGAGTTCATTTTTGTGTATGGTGTTAGGGAGTCTTCTAATTTCATTCTTTTACATGTAGCTGTCCAGTTTCCCCAGCACAACTTATTGAAGAGACTGTCTTTTCTCCATTGTATATCCTTGCCTCCTTTGTTGTAGATTACTTAATCATAGGTGCATGGGTTTATCTCTGGGCTATCTATCCTGTTCCATTGATCTATATTTCTGCTTTTGTGCCAGTACCATATTGTCTTGATTACTGTAGCTTTGTAGTATAGTCTGAAGTCAGGGAGTCTGATTCCTCCAGCTCTGTTTTTTTCCCTCAAGACTGCTTTGGCTATTCGGGGTCTTTTGTGTCTCCATACAAATTTTAAGATTTTTTTGTTCTAGGTCTGTAAAAAATGCCATTGGTAATTTGATAGGGATTGCGTTTAATCTGTAGATTGCTTTGGGTAGTATAGTCATTTTAACAATATTGATTCTTCCAGTCCAAAAACATGGTATATCTCTCCATCTGTTTGTATCATGTTTAATTTCTTTCATCAGTGTCTTATAGTTTTCTGCATACAGGTCTTTTGTCTCCCTAGGTAGGTTTATTTCTAGGTATTTTATTCTTTTTGTTGCAGTGGAAAATAGGAGTCTTTCCTTAATTTCTCTTTCAGATTTTTCATCATTTGTGTACAGGAATGTAAGAGATTTCTGTGCATTAATTTTGTATCCTGCTACTTTACCAAATTCATTGATTAGCTCTAGTAGTTTTCTGGTGGCATCTTTACGATTCTCTATGTATAGTATCATGTCATCGGCAAACAGTGACAGTTTTACTTCTTCTTTTCCAATTTGTATTCCTTTTATTTCTTTTTCTTCTCTGATTGCTGTGGCTAGGACTTCCAAAACTGTTGAATAATATTGGTGAGAGTGGACATCCTTGTCTTGTTCCTGATCTTAGAGGAAATGCTTTCAGTTTTTCACCATTGAGAATGATGTTTGCTGTGCGTTTGTCATATATGGCCTTTATTATGTTGAGGTAGGTTCCCTCTATGCCCACTTTCTGGAGAGTTTTTATCATAAATGGGTGTTGAATTTTGTCAAAAGGTTTTCTGCATCTATTGAGATGATCACATGGTTTTCCTTCTTCAATTTGTTAATATGGTGTATCCCATTGATCAATTTGCATATATTGAAGAATCCTTGCATCCCTGGGATAAATCCCACTTGATCGTAGTGTTTGATTCTTTTGATGTGTTGTTGGATTCTGTTTGCTAGTATTTTGTTGAGGATTTTTGCATCTATATTCATCAGTGATATTGGTCTGTAATTTTCTTTTTTTGTAGTATCTTTGTCTGGTTTTGGTATCAGGATGATGGTGGCCTCACAGAATGAGTTTGAGAGTGTTCCTTCCTCTTCAGTTTTTTGGAAGAGTTTGAGAAGGATGGGTGTTAGCTCTCCTCTAAATGTTTGATAGAATTCACCTGTGAAGCCATCTGGTCCTGCACTTTTGTTTGTTGGAAGATTTTTAATCGCAGTTTCAATTTCATTACTTGTGATTGGTCTGTTCATATTTTCTATTTCTTCCTGGTTCAGTCTTGGAGGGTTATACCTTTCTAAGAATTTGTCCATTTCTTCCAGGTTGTCCATTTTATTGGCATAGAGTTGCTTGTAGTAGTCTCTTAGGATGCCTTGTATTTCTGCGGTGTCTGTTGTAACTTCTCCTTTCTCATTTCTAATTTTATTGATTTGAGTCCTCTCCTTCTTTTTCTTGATGAGTCTGGCTAATGGTTTATCAATTTGTTTATCTTCTCAAATAACCAGCTTTTAGTTTTATTGATCTTTGCTATTGTTTTCTTTGTTTCTATTTCATTTATTTCTGCTCTGATCTTTATTATTTCTTTCCTTCTGCTAACTTTGGGTTTTGTTTGTTCTTCTTTCTCTAGTTCCTTTAGATGTAAGGTAGATTGTTTATTTGAGATTTTTCTTGTTTCTTGAGGTAGGCTTGTATTGCTATAAACTTCCCTCTTAGAACTGCTTTTGCTGCATCCCATAGGTTTTGGATCGTGTTTTCATTGTCCTTTGTCTCTAGGTATTTTTTAATTTCCTCTTTGATTTCTTCAGTGATCTCTTGGTTATTTAGTAACGTATTGCTTAGCCTCCATGTGTTTGTGTTTTTTATGGGGTTTTTTCCCTATAATTGATTTCTAATCTCATAGCATTGTGGTCAGTAAAGGTGCTTGATATGATTTCAATTTTCTTAAGTTTACTAAGGCTTGATTTGTGACCCAAGATGTGATCTATCCTGGAGAATGTTCCGTGCACACTTGAGAAGAAAGTGTAATCTGCTGTTTTTGGATGGAATGTCCTATAAATATCAATTAAACCTATCTGGTCTATTGTGTCATTTAAAGCTTGTGTTTCCTTATTAATTTTCTGTTTGGATGACCTGTCCATTGGTGTAAGTGAGGTGTTAAAGTCCCCCACTATTATTGTGTTACTGTCGATTTCCTCTTTTATAGCTGTTAGCACTTGCCTTATGTATTGAGGTGCTCCTGTGTTGGGTGCATACATATTTATAATTGCTATATCTTCTTCTTGGATTGATCCCTTGATCATTATGTAGTGTCCTTCTTTGTCTCTTGTAACATTCTTTTTTTTTTTTTTTGCGGTACATGGGCCTCTCACTGTTGTGGCCTCTCCCGTTGCGGAGCACAGGCTCCGGACGCGCAGGCTCAGCGGCCATGGCTCACGGGCCCAGCTGCTCCGCGGCATGTGGGATCTTCCCGGACCGGGGCACAAACCCGTGTCCCCTGCATCAGCAGGCGGACTCTCAACCACTGCGCCACCAGGGAAGCCCTCTTGTAACATTCTTTATTTTAAAGTCTATTTTATCTGCTATGAGTATTCCTACTCCAGCTTTCTTTTGATTTCCATTTGCATTGAATATCTTTTTCCATCCCCTCACTTTCAGTCTGTATGTGTCCCTAGGTCTGAAGTGGGTCTCTTGCAAACAGCATATATATTGGTCTTGCTTTTGTATCCACTCAACCGAGCCTGTGTCTTTTGGTTGGAACATTTAATCCATTCATGTTTAAAGTAATTATCAATGTGTATGTTCCTATCACCATTTTCTTAATTGTTTTGGGTTTGTTTTTGTAGGTCCTTTTCTTCTCTCGTGTTTCTCTCTTAGAGAAGTTCCTTTAGCATTTGTTGTAGAGCTGGTTCGGTGGTGCTGAATTCTCTTAGATTTTGCTTCTCTGTAAAGCTTTTGATTTTGCCCTTGAATCTGAGTGAGATCCTTGCCAGGTAGAGTAATCTTGGTTGTAGTTTCTTCCCTTTCATCACTTTAAATATGTCATGCCACTCCCTTCTGGCTTGTAGAGTTTCTGCTGAGAAATCAGCTGTTAACCTTATGGGAGTTCCCTTGTATGTTATTTTTCGTTTTTCCCTTGCTGCTTTCATTAATTTTCTTTGTCTTTAATTTTTGCCAATTTGATTACTGTGTGTCTTAGTGTGTTTCTCCTTGGGTTTATCCTGTATGGGTTTATCCTGCACTTCCTGGACTTGGGTGGCTATTTCCTTTCCCATGTTAGGGAAGTTTTCAACTATAATCTCTTCAAATATTTGCTCGCATCCTTGCTCTCTCTCTTCTCCTTCTGGGACCCCTATGATGCGAATGTTGTTGCGTTTAATGTTGTCCCAGAGGTCTCTTAGGCTGTCTTCATTTCTTTTCATTCTTTTTTCTTTATTCTGTTCCACAGCAGTGAATTCCACCATTCTGTCTTCCAGGTCACTTATCCATTCTTCTGCTTCAGTTATTCTGCTATTGATTCCTTCTAATGTAGTTTTCACTTCAGTTATTGTATTGTTCATCTCTGTTTGTTTGTTCTTTAATTCTTCTAGGTCTTTGTTAAACATTTCTTGCATCTTCTTAATCTTTGCCTCCATTCTTTTTCCAGGATGAGGTCCTGGATCATCTTCACTATCATTATTCTGAATTCTTTTTCTGGAAGGTTGCCTATCTCCACTTCATTTAGTTGTTTTTCTGGGATTTTGTCCTGTTCCTTCATCTGGTACATAGCCCTCTGCCTTTTCATCTTGTCTGTCTTTCTGTGAATGTGGTTTTTGTTCCACAGGCTGCAGGACTGTAGTTCTTCTTGCTTCTGCTGTCTGCCCTGTGGTGGATGAGGCTATCTAAGAGGTTTGTCCATGGGGTACATTTTTATAGAAACTTCTCTTTTAACACACAAACTTCCTCTTTAAAAAGCCCCTAACTTTGACCTTTTAGGATACTATTGCCCTGTAAAAGGGGGAAGTAGAGGGAAAACTTATGAAACTCTATTGAAGTGAGTAGGAAATGAAAATGTAGATACCCTGTGACAGCTAATTGGATTAAACATTCTTTAGGAGCTTCAATTTTTGTTTGTATTTTGGGGGCTCTTTTAAAGTAGGTTTGTGTTTTGTACTACATTTTTTAAAATTTATTTTATTGAAGTATAGTTGATTTACAATGTTGTGTTAGTTTCTGTTTTACAGCAAAGTGATTCAGTTAAACATAAACATATTATATCCTTTTTCATATTCTTTTCCATTATGGTTTATCACAGGATACTGAATATAGTTCCCTGTGCTATACAGTAGGACCTTGTTGTTTATCCATTCTATACATGATAGTTCGCATCTGTTAATCTCAAACTCCCAACACGTTCCTTCCCCACCCCCCTCCGCCTTGGCAACCACAAATCTGTTCTCAATGTCTGTGAGTCTATTTCATAGATAAGTTCATTTTTGTCATATTTTAGATTCCACATAAAATTCTACTTTATTGTATTTGTCTTTTTTTCTTTCTGACTTACTTCACTTTGTATGATAATCTCTGGGTCCATCCGTGTTGCTGCAAATGGTAATATTTCATTCCTTTTTATGGCTGAGTAATATTCCATTGTATATATGTACCACATCTTCTTTATCGATTCCTTTGTCGATGGACATTTAAGTTGCTTCCATGTCTTGGCTGTTGTAAACAGTGCTGCTATGAACATTGGGGTGCATGTACTACATATTTGTAAGATAGGCTTTGTTTTCATATTAATACTTAATATATTTAATGATATTTACCCTTAATATAAATTTGATTGGTTACAGTTCTATTCTGGTTGAAGCATAACATTCCATTGAACTGGACTTTGAGAATTGCCTCTGAACCATAATGAATAACATTGCAGGTTTCAGACCCAGGATAGTCTGAAGAGGCTGGGGCAGGGCTGCTCCAGGGATAAGACCTCAAGGGCAAGAGGAACGGGGCCAGGCTGGTGGAGGAGGGCTATAGAGATGCTCCCCAGCAGTCTGGGCACTGAGATTTCAATCCAAAGAGGGTCTGGTAGGTCTCTTGTACAAAGCAGATGCTAGATTAATGTTTGTGGGATTAGCAGTTTAATTTAGAAAGTACTCTAGATGTTTTCCCAGCCAAGATTGACTGAGCACCTTCACATGCCAGGCCCGGTGCTAGACTCAGAGATAGGAGGTCAGACATGGCTCTTGTCTCTGAGGAGCTTTACCTATGTGATGGAGGGGGACTCAGGCTCACGTGAGCACAATGACGTGTGAACAGTGCTAATGGTAAAGGGTACTCTGAACTCTAGATGTTCCATGATTTGTCTTAAAAAGCCACCCTTCTGCCTAAAGACTACATTTCTTCCCTGCATGAACAACATCAACACATGCCAAATTATGAGACTTACCACAACTCTAAAAGAAACGTCCTGGTCTCGAGAGTTATATAATATCCTAGCTGGTAAGATCCAGTTCACCAGAAAGCAGGATAGTGTAGCAGTTAGGCTGTGGGGTTACAATACCGGAACTACAATCAAGCATATGTGTGGGTTATAATCCAGGCTCTGGCACGTATTAACTGTGAAATCTAGCTTGCTACTTCCCCTCTCTAATCCTTACATTCTCATGAGGAAAATAATTGTGTCCGTCTCATGGTCGATTTAGTGAGTTCACAAGAAGTAAGATGTTCAGAGCAATTCTTGTTTCACAGAGCACTCCCTGAAGTCAAAGTGAGGAGGTTGAAAGGAGGAAGTTTGTGACATTAGGAGAGAAGTGCTTGTAAATATATTGTATTGCTGCTCAATAAATGTTCACTAAAAATCATTATCATGACACTTATTTCACTGACTTCTTAGCAGTCCCAAGTCAATCATTTAACTCTTTGCCAGGAACCCTGGTCAAGCCCTCCAGCTCTAAATGGGAAATTCGGGGGGGCTTTGAAAAGCATGCTGCAGAGAATGGTGGTGGGCTCTGTGTACTCTGGTTCTTTCTCCCTAAAATTTTATTTTCCCTTCCCCTGAGTGAGGTCCTAGCTGATCTGCTTTTTCTTCTAATAACACTGCTGTGATGTTGGTTTGATGCTTAGATCCCACATCTGGTAGCTGTGAAATCCCAGGGACCTGCCTTGACCGCCTCCCAGTCGGTGCACGAGCAGCCCACGAAGGGCCTCTCTGGGTTTCAGGAGGCTCTGAACGTGAGCTCTCACCGTGTGGAGATGCCGCGCCAGAACTCGGATCCCACCTCTGAAAACCCGCCTCTCCCCACTCGCATTGAGAAGTTTGACCGAAGCTCTTGGTTACGACAGGAAGAAGACATTCCACCAAAGGTAATATTACTGGGGTTTTTATCGACATCACCATCATTGTCATCATTGTTTGTTATTATTATTATTATTACTATTACTATTACTGTTATCATTGTTATTACCCCTGTTCCAGACCATTCATAGTATTGAAGAATCTGGCACCAAAGTACCGTCCCTTCTTGCGTTTGTTTTGGTCCCTCCTCATTCCCAAGCTAAGAATTGGATTGTCGCTTATCATTTCTGATCTCCGTTTTCCCCAAAGAAATGGAGGCTCAGGTAGACTGAATGACTTGGAAGCATATATCCTGTATCCAGAATTAGAACTCGCAACCCCAAGCGTTCCAAACTGTTCTTTTAACTATCCATCTTAAGCAATAGAATAATATGGATGTTTTCATCGATGACTTAATCTATGTCTAGACAAATTTAAAATTTCCAGATTAAAAAGTAAGGAATTTTTTTATTCCTATTTTTAATAACCCAAAGTGAAAACAGGTTTCAAATGTTCAGAAGATAGTAATGCTCTTAGAATATTTTAGTTGGCTCCACTTAAGGAAAGCTCCTTCTAGGCCAGGTTGTGATTTAATTCCAGCCTTAATTGATTACTGAGGATTAAACTCTAGGGTAAAATGACCAGCCATTCCACTGGTTTGGTTTCATTTGTTTTGTTTCTGCCTATACCAAGTTGTTGTACATTCCAAAAAATGTCCTAAAACGTGGCCATGCATCTCACTACAGACAACCTGGAAACATCAAAATACTGTAGAAATGTTTGCATCAGATTCTTCCCGGTTCAGGATTCCCCTTTCTCCTGAGCTCAGCATAGGAGCTATGACAAATGGAATGTCCCACAATTTCCAGAAATCGATGCCATTGTTGATTCCAGAAAAAAATAAGACCTTTTTACCCAATGATTTTCAAATATTTTTCCTCTCAGAAGGATATTATACCAGGATTTCTATTATTTTGAAAGTGAAATTAGCTGATAATGGCTCTTTTGTTGTTGTTCTCATCTTGTGGAAGCAGAGATGCCATCAGAAAAGGTTATTTATGGAGCAAAGTTCAATCTAGAGAATAGGATGGGCAGAGGAGCAGACAGGAGAGCTGGGGAAGCATTTGACGTTATTGGTCCACTCTCTAAAAACACGCAGGCACACACTTATAACTCTGGGAGGGTAAATTTAGATCAATACAAAGATTTTAGGTTTTAATAATTCATTAGACTGTCTCTCTCTACAACTGTTTCAGTTGACCAAGTGCAAAAGGAGAACTAGTGAGAGTAATATTTAATTTGAGCAGGTGGGAACACTGATTCAGTTATTCTGCTTCACTTCACTGACTCATCTTTCTAGGCCTTTATCTTAAAATGTATTGTCATAGCCAATAAGATCCGTATTCGTGTTAAATATCATTTAATATACTAAACAGAATATTAAAGCAAAGCATAATTTAAAAATACCTAGTGCAAAACATAAACCTACTTTGAAAGGGCCTCCAAAAATAAGTACAAGTTCAAGCACCTTATGAATGTTTAGCCCAGCCAGCTGTCACAGGAGATGTACATTTTCATTTCCTAGTCACTTTTCATAAAGTAAGTTTTTCCTCTACTCTCCCCTCATGTTGGACCCCTTTGGTGCACTTACCAGTATTTGATTTCATTAGAAAATGTCTCCTAACATGAGGCATACATGAATTCTACCTTAGGCCCTTGACAGATAAGGTAATGGTACGTTTTCCTACCGTACCTCACAGTCTGACTGGTATTCACATAGTTTTTTGAAGACCTTCCAGTATTTTCAGTATTAGTCCTGTTTTGTATCACGTTTGCAAATTGACCTTCCAAAGTTCAGTGTTGGCGGTTTGTTTTTAATTAGAAATTGCAAGTTGATTAGGAAGTAGAACCGTTCAGGATCTATTGCAGTAGTTTTTCTGAGCTCACTAACATGTGGCTTATGTCCCAAGTTCTAGCCTGATACCCTAATTTCTCACCAGACTTCATAATTTCCTTACCTGTTTATCAGTTGTATTGTGAGTTAAAAATGGAACTCGGTTTATCTGGATGTCTCGTCAGATGCAATTTCCAATGATCAGCTGAGTTAATGATACCCCAGAGAAATTTCTGATATCTACCACTCTTGTGCAAATGAAGGGAATCAATTATTTTAGCCCAGTGAATCAAAATAATCCACTTGGTCTGTTTCTAAATTTGTTTTTCAAATTGAGCACTTTGTACTCCCTAATGGTGGCTGAAATGTGCCTCATGGCCTTTCGTTTGATTTTGTTTAGGGAGTTAACTATTTCTTTGAGAAATGCAAGATGTTTCTTTCCTGTTTCTGATAGTTCTGTATCTCCTGGCAGATCTTAGGAAAGGAGTAGCTTGCTTTTCACGTGGAACCCTGTGGAAGCTATTTTATGGAAAATATCTCTGAATTCTGGTTTTCTTTCAGGTGCCTCAAAGAACAACTTCTATATCCCCAGCATTAGCGAGAAAGAATTCTCCTGGAAATGGTAGTGCTCTGGGACCCAGACTAGGATCTCAACCCATCAGAGCAAGGTAAGGGAAGGAAGATGGGTAAGTTGAAGGGAGAAGTCCCCACCTACCATTGTCATTGTTGCTTTCCTTAAAAAATGTCTCTGTTCTTTTTTCACTTCAGAGGCATGTTGGCTGGCCACCCAGACTGTAAGCTTTGGTGGACCAGACACATGTCTTTTATTTCTTCAGTAGCCTTTCACAGAAATCAGTGTACAGTGAGGGCTCTTGAATGAACGAGTCAATGAATCACAGGGTCAACGAATGAATCAGTCCAGAATCCAACCAGGTTTACCTTACTTGGCAGTTTTTTAAACATGGGAGTAAGACTGCAAATAGAAGTCTGGGTGCAGCGCCCCTGACCGTTACTTCAGAGACCATTTCGTGAAGCCAGCCCAGCAAAATGGCCTGATCTGAGTTGGTTTTAGCATCAGGCCAAGAAATGTGCCGTGGGAGCTATTGAGACAGTAATTGCCATAGAAATGCTGTAGCCACCAGCTGCAGAACTTCCCTAGTTCGGCAAATTACAGAAGAACTAGTTCTCATGAGGAAATCACCTCTGGCATTAAGGAGCATCACTGAAATACAGTGATGCTCCCACCGTTGCTCTTGTGCTCTCCTAGAATTTTCTACCGACCCTGTATATTCCTACAATCAGGAAGTTGCGTCCACCTACTGGTTGGTGTCAAGTGCTCAAGCGAAGAAGCTGGAAAATAAACAATATCCTTACAGTATCTGAGCAGATTTTATGTGGTAACAGATGCTGTTTGCTGCTGTAGTCCATCAAGCTTCCCTCAGATATTTCATGAAGAGTACACTCCTTTTTAGGATCAACTGAAATAGCAAATGGCCTCTGCTGAGACTATAAAAAGGAACTTGGGCAGGCTGTTTTATCCGTCTTCATTGTGTTCATGAGAGCACTCTTGCTAGTCAAAGAGAAGGAGAGACTGAAAATGAAGGTTATGACTATTTGTACAGATCCTAAAATATGGAATGCTTTTGATCATAAAGCTTTCATTTTCCTCTTCACATGAAAAGCCTTAGGAAGGGGTCAGTCCATAAATAAGATGGAACTGCACTAAAAACATCCATCCCTTGAGGGCAAAGAAGCTAGCTCGTCTGAGTAGAGTTGCCAACGAGCAGTTTTTGTCCAGTGACTCGTCAGGTTCACGCTGAGCTGGTGCTGGGAGCAGCTGAGGAAGCCTGGAGCGGACTGTGACCAGGGAGCCAAAGGAATGTTAGCCTGGATTGCCGACCTGAACTTTATCAGTCCCCCTCTTCGAGCGGTGATAAGCCCCCAATTATCAGTGCTTCTTGCTCATTGGAGCCCTGCCTTCAAGGCTGTGTTCATTAGATCAGTTGTTTAGAAGTTTAGTTGCTATAGATCAAGCATCATTTCAACTTTAAATCTTTTTCCCTCTCTCAACCAAAAAGAAAGAGAACTGTCATTCTATAGCCAAATAAAAAGCAGCTCTTTGTTCCCTCTGAAATGTTATTTTAATGATATTAAGGCCCTAAGATAACTGGTGTTTGATGGTCAGTGGTTTGCAAAACATGTGCTTTTCCCTTGGAACCTCTTAAACATTGTACTTTTTACAAAGAATGCAGACCTTGTGAAGACAATGTTTTTCTGCTTACAGAAAAGGTAGAGAGGAAGTGAGCTAAGAGGTAATAATTATTTACCTGCAGTGAAAGTCAGAGGCATTGCAGGGGAGGGGGAAGATGGAGAATCCCTATCTCTGCCTTGTGGAACAATCTGCCCAACAAGCCTGTTCCTTGCTGTCACGTATCTCTAAGTGACCAGCATTTAAGATGTGGATCAGGGCTTCCCTGGTGGCGCGGTGGTTGAGAGTCTGCCTGCCGATGCAGGGGACACGGGTTCGTGCCCCGGTCTGGGAAGATCCCACATGCCGCGGAGCGGCTGGGCCCGTGAGCCATGGCCGCTGAGCCTGCGCGTCCGGAGCCTGTGCTCCGCAACAGGAGAGGCCACAACAGTGAGAGGCACACGTACTGCAAAAAAAATGTGAATCAGACTTTGCAACTCTAGATTGGATTGCATTTTAAAACGTTTTAGGATTTGGAATATTTACTGTGCTAGAGATGGCTTTAGTTCACCTTTGTTGCATAATAAAGCGTGCCAAGACATAGTGGCCTGAGATAGTAACGATTTATTATTGCTCACGATTCTGTGGGTTGGCTGCAAAGTTGTTCCACTGGTCTCACCTGGGCTTGCTTCTGCAGCTGCACTGAGCTGATAGGCCAGCTGTACCTTCACGTGGTCTTTCATCCTGGGCTTCTTGGCTATTTGGTGATTTCAGGACAGCATCCCAAGAGGGAAAGCCCCAATACACAAGCACTTTTGAAGCCTTTGCTTCTGTCATCTTTACTGATGTCCCATTGGCAACCACAAGTCACATGGCCAAGCCCAGAGTCAGTGTGTAAAGGAAATACACAGGGGCACAGACAATGGGAGATGTGATTCACGGGTGGTGGGAGCGGAGTGGGAGGGAGGCTGTTACTGAACATAGAGACTGTCTTACTTTCTATCGGTTCTAATAAAGTCCTCATAGTTCTTTTTGTACCATTTGTCAGACAACTGCCCATCCATAAAGCCATAAAAAAAAAGGGTTGCTTTTAAATATTTTGCCCTTTGCAATACTGTATAGACTCCCAAATGCCTTATACTGCCTTAAATGTCAAGGTGAACAGTTGAGTTTAAATCATGATTTGATTTGTTCATTTTTTAAATTTCTGTTTTAAAACCTTCCATGCACTTTAACATTTAACTTTGATTCATGTGTTCTTTTAAAGCACATTAAAATTTGATTAAACAAGTACATTCAGAGTATGAAGAGATTTAAATTAATCCAATAACACCCAGTCAAAACCCAATGACTAAATGCTTAATTTCAAAAAATAATTCTCCATCCCATCCCAAACCTGTCTTCTTATGGCTTGTTTGTTCTCATTTGCTGTGTCATCAAAGAACAAAGTAAAATGAATTTTGGTGGGCAGCCAGTTAATTATAGACTTGGCCCTAGTATTTGGGCCAAGAAATCACTTTGTAATCCTAATTTTCTGTTTTGACTTTTTTCTATGACTCAAGTAAATGGAATAATTTTCACTTTACTGTGTGTTTTATAGACCAAACAGCATTCTCTGCAGGATGGCAAACGTCTGAGCTAAAAGTTAACATTTAAAGAAATCTATATGAATGTTTTCAAGTTTTTACGCATTTGGATCTCAGTAGGCTCAGTTAGTATATGAACAAGGGAAATCTGTTATTTCATGGAATTCTTCTGAAATTGATCCCCGCTAAGAGCATTTATCTCAACCCCCTTGGCCCCTAGGCCAGACTAAATTACAACATAATAAGGAAGAGAAAAATATGAACAGTGTGACATTTTCTCAAAACACTCATATTTTACCAAAAGAGCAAATAAGGTAGAAAAGCATTTTAAAGGTTTCCCTCTTTCTATGTGTGGTTACCTAGACACTAAACACTTCTTTCAGACTCCAGCAGCAAAAATAGCACCCTATTAAGATCAGCACCCATACTGGTTAGCTCCAGTTGGAGGGGGACTTGTACTAACAAGGCCCAGGTCAGGGATTTAATGCCCATGGGATCCAATTAACTTCACACTGAAAGAGGCCCTTGAGCCCCAGTCAGAGATGCAGGCTCATCCCGCTGGTTCTGCTGATGCCCAGGCCACTCTTTTATGCCAGGACAGCCCTGGCCTGGGCCTTATCATCTAACGTGGCAGCAGCCTCCTATCTGGTCAGCCTGCCTCCGTCCTGACCAGCCATTCATAAGCCGGCCCTGGAGGCCCGTGTCCTCTGCCAGACTTTAAGGCCATTGTTGCATAAACCACCCATTTCTTCTGACGACCCCCTCTTCCGGGGTCTCCGAACGCAGACTTGGTCCCCAGTCAGGGTGGCGTCCTCTCTGCATCAACAAGCCCCAGGAAAACCCCAGTCGATGTCTGCTCTCACTCTTCCCCCACCCCTCTGAAGCCTAATCAAGTCCTGTCTCCTTCCTGACACCACTGTTGACCACTCCAGGCTGCACGCCTTGTTTCGTAAACTCCAACACCATTTGCAGATGCCGCACAGCATATGGAGTTTTGCCTTGCTGTCTGTTGTCTCCACCGCACGTGTCTCACCTCTAGGACTATGTTGTACCTTGACTGTCTGCCCTGTGACCTGTACTCTCCTCCATCCCTCAAACTGGTCCACTGGTCTCACAAAGCAGGTATTTAATAGAAAGGTTTTGGTTAAATGATCAAAGGAGTGCTGTATTCGAGCAAAGAGCTGGATCCTGCTACCACACCACAGCTGCCAGGCAAAATACTCAGAACTCACTGAACTGTATTCTCTTCGTAGATTTTTTTTTTTCATACAAAGAACACTACATTACATCTCCACAAAATGAGAGCAACCACCAAGAAACCTTAGTATGCCCATCACCCTTGACCCGTAATATAATTTTTAGAAAAAATACTTTTAGAATTTATTAATTATACATAAATAATTCTTGACCACTACTGTTTAATGAAAGAGGGCAGTGGGGAAGAATTCATTATTTGGGGATGAAAGGAGATAGGATTGTTTCTTTTTGAAAAAAAAAAAGAAAAATTTGAAAGGTGGCATATTGCAGAAGTATCACACATTTATCATTTTAGGTATTCTCCAAACAGGAGGGAGGGTATCTCCATTATGGATCCAAATCTATTTCAATCAATTAAATGCTACCAGTTTTCACAAAAATAATTACTACTCAAAGGAGTGTCATAAAAATATCAAGAATTTTTAAAGTTTTCCTTAAGTTTACCAACACTCACGTCTGCAGCCAGTTTTACTGTTAGGTTGACTTAGCAACCCCTTTACCATAAAAAATTTAAGAGATGAATATTGTCATAAATTCTACATTTGTATGATCAAAATTAATAAATTATAAGGACATATTTTATTTTCACTTGTTTCCAAGACCACCAGCCATGTCTTCCAATAACCCAATATTTAAGAATTTTTGCATCTCGACCAAATATTTTCGCCAAATACGTTACTGCAAAGCAACACTGTTGTGTTTTCAGAAAAAAATTATTTGCTTTAGTTGCTGCTTTAATGATGCCACTTTGTGGCCAGATTTTAACAGACCAAACTGCAAGTGTCTCAAGGGAAGGGACCATATTATTTTCACATTTATACCTGAAGCATCTGACACCCAACACAGTGCAGGGTACCTGTTACCCACTTAATACTCCTGAAATGGGCAGAGCAAAAGGAAAGCATAGAATTACATTTTTTTAATAACATCTTTATTGGAGTATAATTGCTTTACAATGTTGTGTTAGTTTCTGCTGTATAACAAAGTGAATCAGCTATACATATACATATATCCCCATATCTCCTCCCTCTCGTATCTCCCTCCCACCCTCCCTATCCCACCCCTCTAGGTGGTCACAAAGGACCGAGTTGCTCTCCCTGTGCTATGCAGCTGCTTCCCACTAGCTATCTATTTTACATTTGGTAGTGTATGTATGTCCATGCCACTCTCTCACTTCGTCCCAGCTTTCCCCTCCTCATGCCCTCAAGTCCGTTCTTTACATCTGCGTCTTTATTCCTGTCCTGCCCCAGGTTCTTCAGAACATTTTTTTTTTATTCCATATATATGTATTAGCATATGGTATTTGTTTTTCTCTTTCTGACTTACTTCACTTAATTTTTAAAAACTGCACTAAAGCAACAAGAAACAATTTTTTACAAATTCGTTAGCTGTTCATAATAAAGCCTGGTAAGAATTCAGTGAGACGGATCATCTCATACACTTCAGTGAAAACTGGCAGTATGTTTATACATTCACATACATATATATGTGCACATACATACCTAAGTTCATGCCCTTCCACCCAAGAATTCCAGTTCTAGGAGAGATGTGATTGTGAATATTTGTATGCATCTAGATGGTTATTTCACTGTTATGTATAATAGCAATGTATTGGAAGCACCTAACAATAGAAGAATGGTTGAACTCATTTATCTATATAATGGAATACTATGCAGCTATTATTGTTTTTAGAAGCATAAGAAGCTGCTCTCAATGCAGTCTAAAGGGGAAAAAAAGCAAGACACAAAATTGAATATACAATGTGCTTCCATACATACAAAAGAAAAAAGACTAGAAGATAATATTCCATCCAGTAAAATATAGTTGAATATCTCTTGATTCAGAGGTTGCATGCATTGCTTCCTTATTTTTATCTTGTAATATTTTCAAGTGTTTTACAATGAGAATAGGAAAAGGGTTTAAAAGAAAGCCTCCTTTGAAGATTCGCCATTTCAGAGCTAATACGTTTGGTGTGATGACCCAGGAGTTGGGTCAAGAGTTCTTCCCGTCCAGATGCAGAATCTGGCCAGGAGCTCCACAGAGGATAGCATGACTGTCATTACCATTGACCCCTGTAATGCAAGGTCATATAGGTACTCTCTTTACTCCTTTGTACTGGGGATGGGACTGGGCTATGCTTGTGTCTACCAGTGGCAAGGTCTTGAGGGTGTAACCTCTGTGCTCTGCTGTCCATGCAGCAACCCTGACCTCCGGAGAACTGAGCCCATCGTGGAGAGCCCCTTGCAGAGGACCAGCAGTGGCAGTTCCTCCAGCTCCAGCACCCCTAGCTCCCAGCCCAGCTCCCAAGGAGGCTCTCAACCTGGGTCACAAGCAGGATCCAGCGAACGGACCAGGGTTCGAGGTAACGCTTTCCCCTACCTTCCCAGGACAGCATTCCCTGAGGAGGAGAGCCATGCACAAGGAACCAGATTACTTCCTGACTTCTAGGACTTCTGGTCCTGGCGTGGCCACCACTGTGTGATGCTAAAGAGCCGCTTAACTCCTCTCAGCCTCAGTCTCCTTAGGGGAGTGTACCACCATCCCCAGTTATATGTGTGACGTCAGTGTGGACTAAATGCTTTCTAATTGCAGACACCATTGTTCTCCAGGGAGGTCACAGAATATTGGTCTTACTTGAAAATGTAGTCATCAGTCACCTGCATTTCCATTTCCATTTGATTGATTGGTTAGAGTTTCATGGACCCCCAAGTATCCTCTTCCCCTTGTGTCAACTGTGTTCAGAATACAAGGTATTTTTCAAAGGGAAAGTTAATAAAGGCTAATGTAGAATAAATATACACTTGAGAGAAGATATAAAATCTATGACTTAAAAAGTACACTTGACTCTTCTAGTTTTTCCTATTAGAGAGGTAAAAATTAGCCTCTCTGACCATTTAATTCAAGTCATTCTTCATTGCTTAGTTTTCATTAATGAGGAAGCTTGTGAAAAACATTAATGTGTCCGGCTAATTATACATGATAACCTATTGTTTATAGCTAATCAAAATGTACTCTTTCTGCATAACCTTCTTCAGAAGATAATTTGGCCTCCAAGTAATAAAGACCGGGATTTTTTTTAAGTGCAATTTGGAAAACACTTATAAATTACTCTGCCTAATGAAAATCACCAGTTCTTTATTCTCTCTTAGCCTCTTCATTAGACACAATTATACTTTACCTCCTAATATTTCTTTGAGTAAACTCAAATGTATGTACATTTTGGAAAGGTCGATGTCAGACATGCAATGCTTGTGTCTATGAATTGGGATAGGAACTGGCCTGTGGCTGCCCCTGTGTGCAGTCTTCTGACATCAGTGGCACCACCCAGAGCTATGTATACTTTTGTTGCCTTGATCCAGATATAAAGTTACTTACTTTGGAAAACTGCCATTCCCTTACCTTTTTTCTATTCATAAGCAACTTAATTTGCTTAGTTAGAGCAAATGCTAAAGAAAACCAAACTTAGGTATACCATTTTAATTCTCTGATCTGGTTCAGGTTTAATTCTTATCTTCTTTCCTTTGGCCTTTAGTTTTCCTGGGTTAAAAGCACTCATATCCCTGGTGTATCCCTACCCAGGAAAGACCACTTTGAAACCAAACAAAAGAATCTCTCCCACCTTAGATTGCTTCTTCTCTACCTATAAGTTCATAAATCGGAGGGATGCTCTTCACTTGTAGCTGTCAGGCAGCCCTCCCCCAGCCCTTGCTCTATGACCTCTATTCTAGGGCACTTCCGCTTTATCACCAGCACTCTCCTTCCTGCCCTCACCCTAGACAACTCCCCTTTCCTCCCCCCATTTAAAAATCGTTCCTCCAAATAAAACAGGTTTCTATTTTTTTCTACAACAGTTCATCAGAAAAACTTATCCTGATGGGTAAGTGGTAAAGGAAGAAATCAAACATAGGATGCTAACTCAGAGGCTGGTTTAGTATAATAATTGAGAATAGGACTTTGAGAAATCATACAGAATCCCAGCTCTGCACATAACTTCAGTGTAACCTTAGGCTAGTGGTGTCATCTCTCTGTGTTCAACTGTCGTACAGGAAAACAGTGCCACGTCATTGGGTTGGAGCAAGGATTCAACGAGACAATTGACATAGAAAGCGTTTAGCACTAAGCCTGACACAGAATTAATGCTCAGTAAATGGCGGTGCTGGCTAGTTTTTCATATAATTACCAGTGACCTCCAGGTTATAAGACTAAATGCGTATGGCTGATTTTGTTTGCCTGAACATTTACTGATTTTTCACGGATGTGCTTGAGGATTTGCCTAAGTGAATGAGGTGTCCGCTGAGTCATTTCCAAGGCTGACTCACCACAGAACTCCAGAACTTCAGCCAGCACCTTCTGACGGTCATTATCTTTCTTGGCCCTCTGTTTTTTTCCTCTAGCCAACAGTAAGTCGGAAGGATCACCTGTGCTCCCCCATGAGCCTTCCAAGGTGAAACCTGAAGAATCCAGGGAAATTACCCGACCTAGTCGACCGGCTGTGAGTGCTTTTCTCTCAAACAGTTTTGAACTCTTTTAATTTCCCAGAGAACCCGCAGGAAAAAGTGGTTGGGGATGCACTCATGACTATGAAACAAAAAATGTTGAGATTAATAAGAACGGATGCTAGGAGCATCTGGAAGGAAGTCATACCTGATTAGGAAAGAAATGAACAGATCTTGGGTTGCTTATCTACTTTTGGTTATTTTTCTGATCATTAGCACTATGTTACTGAATAAAACAGGAAGAGAGATAACTCACATTATTCCATAATTTCTACTCAGTAGCTTTAGCGAAAAAATGTTGAAAGTAACAATTAAGAATATGTGGGCACTTCCTATGGATTTTTCTTGTATATTCTGGCCTTTTCCTATATTATTTTCCACATGAATTAATATTACAATTTTTCTGCTGCATTTCTGCTGCTCTAGGACTGTATTTTCTAGACCAAAACTTGATAAGCATGGTCTGATAGGGGGCTGACGACATGAAATCTAGCTTCATTGCTGTAACACGTCAGACCCCAAATAGCCTTAAAGAAAGAAAGAAGAGGATGGAGGCTGAAAGTTGGAAATTAATTGGGAATGAGTTATTATATACTTATTTTATTTAAATTTTCCAAGAATCTTTTCTGTGAAATGGATGTTTTCGTTTACTTTATTTTTTTACATTTTAAAGTAAGGAAGTACAGTGAGGGTAACAATGAAGGGCATTCACACCATTCTGGGTTGAGGTTCTTCTTGCCCTTTTTGCATTTATCAGTTGTGTATTAACAATTTCCATTTTGTGTCTAACCTGCTGCCTTTCTTCCGGCTTTTCCCCCTCATGTGGATTCTTCTGGATTGGTTTCCTCTTATCTCAGAGCTATAAGAAAGCTATAGATGAGGTTAGTATTACCTTTTTTGCTTGGTCATGCTTTCACAAGATGTAAATATAAACTGACTTCCTGAGGCTGATATTCAGAAAGGTGGCCAATTGGATCACAGATGAAAGTTCGTTCCTTTGGAGTGGTCTGCTGAGAGGAGAGCCCCTTCACAGAAGCCAGCCTGAGCCCCTCAGACACTGTGTATAGCTCCAGAGACCTTCCTTCTAGCCAAAATGTCACTTCTCCAACGTTCCAGTCTAGCTAAAGATAAGCATCGGTGCTTTGTTATTGGCACAGTTTCTCATCCTAGTATCTTCCAGTAGCAAAGCCTGAGCTTTTAACCTGCACTCGCCAGCCTTGCTAGGGGATGGCAGTTTTACTAACAAAGAAAAGAGACATCATTCTAGGGTCGTCCCCATTTATAGTGTGTGATTTGTGAACAAGGAGTTACCGGGTATTGTTAGATTAATTTGTGGGACGTTAACTACAGCATCAGCAGCAACATCAACTTTAGTTAATGAATCCTGGCGAGTTAAGTAACTTGATTTCCTTATCTGTGATGACATTTTTCCATTAGAAAAATATATGGCTTTGCCAATCTTAAGTAGCTTGCTAAGAAGGATGACTGCCTCACTGCTGTTTGTCAGACCTGCATGAATACAGCATAGTGGAGTTGTTTTGGAAGAGAGAGGCCTTCTGCAAAGAGTCCTAACTGCATGGAATCTGAAGGCTAGCATTATGGCTTTAAGGCTGAGCACTGTTTTTGTGAAATGATATAGAAAAAGCACAGGCTTTGGGAGTGAACAAGCTGCATTCAAATTCTGGCTCCCCCAATAAATAACTGGAGGGGCCAGTCTCACGAATTCTCTGGGCCAGTTTCATCTGTAAAATGGGGATAAAAACACCTGCCTTTCCTCGCTCACAAGATTGTTTAGGTTCACTCAAGATCATGAGGGCGGGAGCATTTTCTGAAGTGTGAAGTGCTATGTAAAGCCAGGGCCTGAGGCGTGGAGCTATTCTGGTGGAAGAAGCATGTTTCTATGTGTCTGATCTTTACCAAAAAGCATCACTTTTTCAGAATTATGACCGCCTCACCATTCAGAGTGATTTAGAAAGTCATTATCATAGTTAAAGGATTATTGCTTATACAAAAAAAAAAAGATTCTACATGTCTACAGTGTGTGGATGGCATTATAGAAAGAAAAAAGGGAAATGTTTTTAATTGCTCTGTGCTACAGCCTTCAGGGATTATCACAAATTTTATCAGTTTTCTCCCAAACAGTTCTGGTGCTCAGGCTGCCAATAAAATGGTCGTGTGTGTGCACAACCCAAGGTTTCCTCTTATGAGTCCAGAAATTAGCTTGGAGGTGGCTGTCATGAGGGAAAGGGCTCTCATGGATTTCATCTGGTTAACCCAGGATATTTTAGGCTTTTAAAAATTGCTTTATTTATTTCAGGATACTCTAGCACACTGGACAGAGATGAGAGGTAGGCAACAGAGGTACAAATAATTGAGGGGGTGTAAGCTGTACACCAAAATCTCTGGAGCCATGGATGACTGGAAAAAGCCCTCCACGTGATTCTTCTAACCCTACTCCTTGAGTATCACTGATCCAAAACACAAGATTCCTTGGTTCTACCTAACCCAGTGGTCCTCAACCAGGGATGAGCATCCCCCCCCAATTCCCCTTCCCTGAGGAGACATTTGGGAAAGTCTGGAGTCAGTTTGGTTGTCACAACTTGGAGGTGGGAAGCGGTGCTGCTGGCATCTTGTGTGTAGAGCGGAGAGATGCTGCTAAACAACCTACAATAGAGACTTATCCACCCCAAATGTCAGTAGTGCCACAGTCAAAAAACCTTGAGTTAAATCTCTCTCCCATCTCCATTCCTAGGTTTTAAGATGGCCTCCATCCACCGTGACTGATATGCCATTTAGATAACCCGAGTTTGAAATGAGCAGTCTTAAAATGCCAAAAACATATTGCTTGTTATTGCTAATTTAATTATTTGAGTTCCATAAAAGTCAGTCTGGGGGAGTGTCCATGCCTTTGGCATTCCTTCCTGTGGAGCATGAGATTGTACAGCATAGTCTGTGATTATTTAATACAACCCTCCAAAATAAATATTCTTTTTACTTTAGCACAATTAAAGAGATGTCATGAAGATTAGATACATAAGCAAACACTGGCTTTACCACCACTTTTTTATTGTATGTAGAAATCTGACAAATTCCAGAGCACATCCATAGACTGGACAGAACTGGAACAAACCTTTTTTCCCTCAGTTGAAGATTCGAAGTCAAGTGACTTCCCCAAGTCATATCTTTAGATTTCCTAAAAAGGAAATGAATTATTTTAATATGTAAAGAAAAAAACAACTTTAAAATCTTTAACTATTATTTTAATAGTTTAAAAAATTGAACTAAAATTTGCATAAACTATATTGGTTTTAAAAAGATACCCAAAAGAGCACCTTTTAAAGCAGAGTATGCATAATTTTGTCAGATTAAATAAGCCTTTTTGAAAGAAAAATTATATCAAGTTGATTCTAAAAAGTGTTACATGAAAGAAACCTTTGGGTGAGAGCCCCTTACCTATCTTTACTCTGTAGTCAAAAAGCTTAACATTTTGCCATATTTCTTTTTCAGTTATACATTCTCAAATATTTTTATTGTAAATAGCACTTTTTCCTCTTTTTAATACTTTTTAGCTCCAGGCTTGAGACAGTCAAGCAATAAATTACCACAAAAACTCATTATATGGAGAAGATTGGTATTGTCAGAAAATAAAACATATGAAAATGGATCTGAACGCAATGGTGTCAGTTTTAGATCATGTCTCTTTCCTATAACTTTGCTCTTCTAAGTTTTTCCAGGGTGGATGGATAAGGAACAAAACTTCAGCTAAACACACAGACTATGGGCAATGGAAGATTAATTTTCTTTGGCTGGGGTATTAGTTTTGAGTTACTCGTTATTGGTACCTTGGGATTTTCATATATGTCTCACCTGCCAAGCTGTTACCAATTAAACTTAAAAGGAATTTGCAATTATTTCTAAAGTTTCAGGAAAGATAGCTTTTTAATAACACAGAAACCAAAAACAAAAAAAAAACCTCTAATTAAAAGTGAAATTATAAAGCAGGTCAGAGCTTTAAAAGTGTTCCTAAATACAGTGTTTGGAGAAATTTAGGTGATTTTAACAAGTGAGAGTTACTTTAAATCAATGGACTTTGGACCAGCTAAATATTTCTAAATAGTTTTGATTTTTTAAAATCTTCTTTGTCTTGCTTTGAAATGTCAGTGATAAGGAAAACCAACCCATGGGGAAAATGTATTATTAATTTAAATAAATCATAGTTAATATTATTATATTTTACTCAGAATTACTGACATTAGAAATAAACTCTCTTAACCATATTCTCTCTTTAAATTATAATAAAAATTTTTTTTAATGACAAGTAACATTTTAGATGCTAGTTGTATTCTTTGATGAGACATACATGGTCCTAACATAGAGAAGGAAAAATACAAAATAAATTTATCTAATTTTTAAATTATTTTATTGGTTTGGAGGATTATAATGTCCTTTTTCATTAATTGCTTTAACAAATATCTAAACTGTATTTTCCCAATGTGCTCAAGTGTAGCTTACCCTTCACTTTCTCGTCAATTTGATAAAGATAAACATTGGCAATTGTCAAGAGGAAATAAGAAGTAAAAAGCTGAAATCTGAGCATTAGCTTTTCTTATTTTGGCCCATCACCAAAGAAACTGGAAATAAATTTGCCTAAAATTCTGTGTGGTAATTTTCCTCTTCATTCATGGTGTACATTATATTTAAACAGTTTGAGTCTTTTTAATACAATTTTATTTTCACTTTCATGGATGGGATAACTATATCCACTGAGATTGAGGCCATGTGTGTGTGCATGTGTGTAAAAGCCCAGCAAGCATGTTTGGGTGGAAAATGCACAATTTGAATTTTCAAAAGCTTCCCCTTTCCAAGGGCTTCAATTCAAATGACTACAGAACAAATGTAAAAGTTGTCACTGCTGTCCCTTTGATTTTTATGAAATTAGAAAGAAATGAATCCTTCACTTAACACCTTGAACTTTCTAAATTTCTAGACCAAATAAAAAACCTGAAGCATTTTCTGTCCTTAGTCTTAACCAATACATTAATGCCTCACATATAGGCACCAGTAAAGAAACAGGATGATCTGTTGTCTTCTCAAAATAAAATTATATTTATAATTTAATTACACACATTTATCACAACTTTTCTTCTAACCTATCAGGATAGATTATCAGATGTCATTTAGATCACCTATATTGCTCTAACCTTACATCAGGTGAATTGGGCAAATACATTTCTGGATTGAAATAAAGAGAGAATATGGCCATAAGAAAACTGTGGGATTTAGTATCTTCAAATGAGTTTCTTTCTCCCTAATCCCCTGTCTCTCACTGAATGCTCTGATTCCCACATGGGTCACTAATATAGGGAGAAATGGTAAGACTGATGTCAAATTGCTTTTTCTTCACTTGCATGCTGTGTGCCAAGGGCAGTTTAACCCGTGCAAATGAGAGCGGCCATGCTTTAGCAGAACTGCTTCCCTCTGCATTGCTCTGAAAGCATGTACAATAAAAGGTAGTCAGATCTTCAGCACACCGCCTGCCATGTGCCTGGTGATTAAATACCACCTCATCACATCCATAAGGCTAAAGGTTTCATCATACTCATGGAAAACTGAAAATTTACCTCTTCCTTTTGGTGTTTGCACATTCATTTCAGTATTCTCCGCCAGGGTTTCTGCCAGGTGACGCAATATAAAACAAAAGAAAATGAAACACCTATCGTTCTGGAAGAGAACTCTTTTTTGTTTTTGTTTGTTTTATTTTGTTGTTGTTCCTCTTGATTAACTCAGCTCCGTGGCTCTAAATTTCAGTGGCACTGGGCTTTGGGGTGGGCCATTATTTGATGTGGTGCCTCGGCTGTCCAGGGAATGACGACACACCAAATGAGTCATTGTAGCTGCTGGAACCTTGGGAATTGCTCTGTTCTGTGACTGATGCTAGATTTTGGTACAGTAGCAATCATAAGAGGAGAAAGTCGCTGACTATGGCTTGGGCAGGAGTCTCAAAATACTGGGGAATGATTTCTAATCCTGTGGGTAATTAACTATGAGGGTGGGTGACCAACTTCACCTTCCCAAAATAAAATGTGAACCCAGTGTTTGTATATATGTGTACACACACAGTGCACATACACATATATACACATGCAGATTCAGAACCGAACAGTCTCAGTCTAGCAATTGGTTGTGAACAAAGTTTAAATTTATTTCATCTTTCTTTTCTAGTTTCTCTGTGCTACAAACCTCGTTTTCTTGGTTTCATGCAGTAACTATGTTTGTAACAGTTCTATAGAGAGCTTTTTTTTCTTGTTTATTTCTTGTTGCTTGAGCCGGAGACTTGCTGAGAGACATCGCTTTGGTCATGTCTATAATTCATATACGCTGGACACGCTTTTCTCTTGTAGGATCTGACGGCATTAGCCAAAGAATTAAGAGAACTCCGGATTGAAGAAACAAACCGCCCACTGAAGAAAGTGACGGATTACTCCTCCTCGAGTGAGGAGTCGGAAAGCAGTGATGAAGAGGAAGAAGATGGAGAGAGCGAGACCCAGGACGGGACGGTGGCTGTCAGCGACATACCCAGACTGATGTAAGAGACCTGCGTTTATACAATATTGCTTCTGTTTTTTTGTTTGTTTTTGCAGTACGCGGGCCTCTCACTGTTGCGGCCTCTCCCGTTGCGGAGCACAGGCTCCGGACGCGCAGGCTCAGCGGCCATGGCTCACGGGCCCAGCCACTCCGCGGCATGTGAGATCTTCCCGGACCGGGCCACGAACCCGTGTCCCCTGCATCGGCAGGTGGACTCTCAACCACTGCGCCACCAGGGAAGCCCTGTTTCTGTTTTTTTATGTTTTGGTTTTTTGGCCCCGAGGCCTGTGGGATCTTAACTGACCAGGGATCGAACCCACACCCCCTGCATTGGAAGGCAAAGTCTTAACCCCTGGACCACCAGGGAGGTCCCTCCCGAGGCCTGCTTCATCACTGTAGGCCAGGAGAGGTTAGGTCTCCAAGACAAAAGGACAGGAAATATGAATTAAATATAAGATCATGTATGAGTCTCGGGCAAAGTTGACTTTGGGGATTCACGTTTTTATTAGAGCATAGTTCTATATTCACCCCTCTCCCTAGACACAGTTACTTAGAATATGTAGCATTTCTAGGACTGCATATGCTTTGTCTAAGCTGTTGTGGCATTCACCATCCCTTGGGTGATGCTTTCTTGGTTCCTGTCATCTCTGGGCAAGTGATACTGACAGCCACACCCTAGAACTAAAGAGCAAAATTATATGCAATGGCATTTAGGGGTTAAAACTGACAACATGAGACGTATATTTCACTGTCACCACCACCACTAAGGTGGAATGCAGGAGGCAGCATGGGTTAGCATCCCAGCAAAACAATCAGGAGTCGAACAAACCTGCAGAGAAGCTTCTGAGTGTTTGACTTAAATACACCCCTGATTTTCTACTTCATCTTCTCCATTGTCTCTTTTATGTGATCCTCTTTGCTGCAGCCTGTGACTGCACCACGTACAGTCTTCTTTTTTAGATATTTATAGCTACCTAGCTTTCCCTTAGTATTTACAGCCTTTACTTCTCTTTTCTTTTCCCTTTTTCTCATCAGACTGGATCCTAGAAAAGAACCTCTCCTCTTCCCCTATTACTTCCCCAATTCAAACAAACATATTCATACAGTCACACTCACATACATCTCTCATTTCCTCTCCCAAATAAACACAAGGTGCCCAGCCCTGGTTTGCCATAACTTTGATAAAGAGCAATGCTAACTTTTCCATCTTCACTCCTCCTTCATTTCCATTTCTTTGACTCAGCTACCACTTTTGGTCATCACACCACATTTACTCCCTATAGAGAAGATGTCATTTCAGGCCACAGATTACAGTCCTGTCCAGCAGAGGTTGGCGAGACAGGGCCTCCCAGTCTGCAGGAAATGTCATCCGTTGATTAACGATTGTTACATACAAGCAATTCTGAGAGACAAGTCCAATTATCATAGCTGAAAATCCATACTTGTTATTTTACTGCTGACTACCCAGTTATTGACAACCACAAATATGCTAAAATATGACATTTGGAAACAAATTGCATTAAATTGCTTTTTTAACAGCAAATAAAGTTGTTCTAGAGGCAAAATCACTAATCCAGAACATTGCCACAAAATATGCTGGTCCTTTCAGTTTTTGTCTTAACTCAGCATTGGTTCATTCTTCTAACAGATGTTTTGAATTCCGTTTAAGCACTGAGCATACAGCTATGAGGGTGGATTGTGAATTTAAAAGATTGGTAAGACTTCTTCTGTGTGCTAGACCCCATACTGAGGGCTTTGAGACATTCAAGAAGTGCGGACATGAATTCTGCCTTCCAAAAGTTTACATTCTAGTTGGAGAGAGACAAAATTATACATGGAGAAGTTCAGAGTAGTATAAATAGTTGGAAGAATAACCAATAGCCTTGGAAGAGATGTTAAATCGCATTTGGTTTTTAAGCCTCCTGTCATATTTTGTAAGACTCTTAGTGGTATTTACCCTCGTATCTCTAAAGGCAGGTCCATCTCTTCCCCCACCTTTCTAAAATGGCCTAAATATACCATGCTGTGCTGCACTTTCTCTGCTGTCTGGCACTCTCTTGTTCCTTTAGAAATCACCCATCAAGGCCCAGCCTGTACAGGCAGAGCCCATCCCTTCCTCTGTGCTGCATGGTGTCTCCTGTGCATTCCTGCCATTTCATGGAGTACCTTGAATCAGGTTATTTATTACATGTTGTCTCCCTCTCTGGGCTGTGAGATCCTTGAGGGTGAGGATTGAGCCTTATTTACTCTCTACTCTTAACACCTTGCCTGGTGTCTGGAATAGAGCTGGTCTTCAGTGACTCTGATTTACACTTAACTGCACTGCACTGAAATTGCAAATCCTGGCTTCAAAGTGTTTATAGCCTAATCCAGAGGAAAGACGTGTACACAAATAACTGTCATCAAGGTAAAAAGGAACACAGAGTGATGTTAGAATCCCAGGTTGGGGGAGTTGAAGTAAAGGCACAGAAGGTTAAGTTTGGTGGGAATATAGATGGTATGAGGGGGGGAAAGTCTGGACTAGTGAAACCAGACCGGGATCATGTAGCCAGTGGGGAACCGTCGAAAGTCTCCTGAGCTGGGGAGTGACATGATTGGTGCCACGTTTGAGAGAAATCATTTCATCAAAGTGATTTGGAAAGAGAACAGACTAGATACTGGTAAAGGCATTCAGAGGATCTATTACTGTAATCCCAAGAAGTCATAAATGGGCTCTCATTGAGTACTTACAGTGGAGGCAAAACTTGACGTGGCTCTTGATGAATTGCTAAATTTTAAACAGATTAACATGACCGTCCATTAAAGAACATTTAAAATATGTAATTGTATATGAAACATACTCAGAGAAGAAACAGGATACAGATGTGTGCATGTGTATGTGTGTGTTTATTCCAATTTGCCAAATATATGCACTTTTGTGAATATAAAATATTGGGTTGGCCCAAAAGTTCGTTCGGGTTTTTCCATAAGAGCTTTTGGGCCAACCCAACATATACAGTTCTGCTACAGCATGAGAAACTTCATACTATTAAAAAATCCATTGTTTCTTTAGGAATAAGACATTTCGGAGTTAGACTCCTTCTTACATACATTCTTACCATCTTTATTGTCTACTGTTAAGGTAAACCGTCACATTTTGTGCTGTATTTTTTAAAGCAAAAAATTACTATATTATATTAATTATATAAATATATTGCAACACAGTTCACTATCATGAAGTCTATACAAAAGAGCTTTTTAGAAATAGAGCACAGCCATTCCGACAAGCAGCTGGAGATCCTGATGTGCAAAACAACAGCTTCTTCTATGTACAGTGTTGGCTTCATATTAATAGTATGAGGTTTAACCTATAAGAGTGCACATAACTAAGATTGTATTCCATAACTAACCAACTGCACTATTTCCCAGTGCCTCATGCATAGAAAAATAATGAGTGAGGGGGAATTATAATAGTGGTTACCTGTGGATTATACAAATCAAAAGGATTTTATTTTATGTATAGCCCCAATTTTATGTTAAGCATGCACTATTTTCATAATCAGGGAAAACATAAAAGCTTTATAGAATAGGAGGGAGGGAATGAAAGGCACGTAAGCTGATTTGCATCAGCGCAAGCCAGCTGAAGAGGCAGCCTTCAGTATCAGTCTCTTCCCTCAGGTGCCAGCACATGCTTCGGATCAGTACATATGAGGCGTGGTCTTCATCATTAGGACCACCTATTGCTATTGCAGTCCCTGAGTTTTGCACAGTCTCATAAAATGCAGTCTGGACATTGAAAGCCACATGTCCCCTCTTTCCCAGTCTCACTAGAGAGCCATGGTTCTGGCCCCGTTCACCAGCCAGGCTATCGTTGTGCCCACGCCGCCTCTTGCCTGCCGTCCTCTCAGCCGTCCTGTCCGTTGGTTCAGTCTTTGGTCTGAGTCGTGTTGTAGAAGTGTGTCTGTGGTCATGCTGTAGCCCTAGTGCCCTACAACTCTTTTCATTCCTAGGCCCCATGACTGTCACAGCATATGCTCCAGCCGAACTGACCTTCTCATTATTCTTTCCGAATGCCTTGCACTTTTCCAATGTTGTCTTTTCTTGGAATGACCTCCTCTCCCTCTGTCCCACATTCTCACTTACATCTGCCGTGCATTTGAGTATTTGCGTTGTTTTTTATGCTCTTGCAGATGCTAATCTCTGTAGTTTCAGGAACCGTGTCTTCTTCAGCTTTTACATCCACTACCCAGTGCCAAACCAAGGGCCTTTCATGTAGCAGGTGTTCGATAAATGTATATTGAATTGAATTAAATCAATACCTGCAGGAACACTTTGACAAATCCAATTAGAGATTATTGTTCTAAACATGTGACCTAATTACAGTAAATTTTCTATAGTTTTCTTTCTAATTAGTTGATGTGTTTTGTTTTTCACAGTCTTTATAGAAATTCAGACAACTGATTCTTCCTACCCAGACTCTATATCAGAAAAATAATTTTTAGAACAAAGGATTATTTTAACTATAAAATGTTATAGTTGTTTTAGCCTTAGCGTTTTTAAACCATTGCCTTTTAAAATTATTATTAATAAACTGTATTCTTTAGAACAGTTTTAGAGTCACAGAAAAATTGAGCAGATAGTACAGAGTTCCCATGTTACTCCCTCCACCGACTCCCACCCCCTTACCCCTCCCCCGCAGTTTTCCCTGTTAGTAACACTGTACAAAGGTTATATAGAGTGAAGCAGAATCCTGGGGACCAGTAGCATTTAAGAGGAGCTTATGAAGAAAACAGAGAACAAAGGGATAAAAGGAAAACCAGGGGAGAGTTGTCTCAAAATCCAGAGGAGTACAGAAGAATGGGGCGGAGTGATCAGTCATACCAGACACAGGCAAGAGACCAAACACCATGTCAAAGAGCAGTCATTGAAACTGAGAGCTTAGAAATGACTTAGGGAGTTTCCTTAAGGTGCTTGAAGTCAAGTATGAGAAGTAGTCATCTGGGGAGTGAACCAGAGTGTGTC